TAATGCTCTACTATGGAGAACTGAAAGTGTTAGAAAGTATTTAATTAGCAAAAATGGTCCTTTCCCTGAAAAAAACCTGCTTTTGTAAATGCTAAGCCTGCTGATTTTGGAATGAACACATAACAGTCCGTTCTGCCACAGATTCACTACTGACCTTCAGCAAGTCTCTCAACTTCTGTTCTTCATCGGTAAAGTGAAAACAAGCTGCTTCACAAGTTTGCTGTGAAAATCAAAACTGTAATCAGGAAGCCTTTTCCTAATTACCCTGTCAGTTGCATGACTTGGAGTGCAAGCAGCAACTCATCTCAGCAATTTACAGCATCACTTTTATGCCAGCACAAATCTACAATAAGATTCTGGCCCATGAAGCTAGATTACATTGCAATATTAAAAGGGAGTTAAATGTACAGTATCGTCATTAAAGTATCATCATTAAAATGACCAGTGAATAAAAACCGTTGAAAACAATTAAAAACAGATTTTAAAAGATTTTAAACTGTAGAACATCCCTCATTAAAACTCTTTCCTTGGCAGCCATTCAGTTGTCAACAGCCTGCCTAAACAGGAAAGGTCTTTAACTGCTAGCAGGACAACAGGGAGGGATCCAGGCTGGCCATTCTTGGAAGGAAGTTTCATGGGCTGGGATATTATATCAACCATGTCATCACATAATAATGAATGCATATTGTATGGAACTTAAATCCTAATATTCCGCCTTTTCCTCTTTCAGAATCACTAAGTACGCCTCTTTATATATATGGTCATGTTTTATTAAGTGCTGAGCACTGACATAATATAGATGAACCATATATAACGAATTGCATTTCAGTACATTATATACGGTTGAAGATGAACCACGTGTAACGTATTGCATTTCAAGGTGCTGAAAATATTTAAATGATGATTTTTTTACATTAAAATACAGATGAGGAGGATAAAGGTTGGGAAGAGAAAGTATAACAATGTGGACCTTGGATGAAAGTGATCTCATATTTTGAGGATGAGTTAAACAGAAAAAAAAGGGAAAGCTAAATGTAGTCAACCAATGTTCTGAATACACTCAGCACTCTTTAAGAAAACTGATTTCTATAAGTTTAATGTAATACCACACAAGATCCTGCGGTCAGAAATGCTCAGGAAGGAAGGAAGTTCACAGTGGATGGGGATTTCTTAAAGAGGAGATATTGAAGACATAATTGCAAATTCTAAATAGGAAATTCTAAATTCTAACGTGGAAAAAAGCAGAAAGTATCTAAAGAAGGTAGGGTGGCTGCATGAGGAATGTTTGGATATTCAAAAGCAGAACGTATATGACACCACAGGAGGACAAATGTCCAAGGAAGAGTACACATGAGTAGTCAGTACGTATTTGCAAGGAAAAGGTCAAAATGAGTTCAGGGTTATTAAAGGCTACAAATAATATAAAGGAGTAGATCAGTTACATTTAGAACAAGAGGAATAACAAAGAAGCACCAGGTCTGCTGCATGTAGAAGATGGGGCAATTTTCAACCAGTGACAGAAAGAAAGTGCAATTGCTCTGTCTTCTCCTAAAGGAAAAACAATACTCAATCTGATGAAAAAGAATGAAGATGTAATGCGGGGGACTGCAGCTCAAGATAGGTAAGGAAATAGTGCTTTATAGTGGTTGTTACGGCCCATTACTTTATTTGTTTATTTGTTTGTTTGTTTGATTGATTGATTTATACACCACCCATCTAGACCAATGGTCTACTCTGACTTACAAATTAATGACCTCCAAAAAGCAATCTTGCTCAGTCCAAACCAAATGCTTCCTATACTGAGCTAATCCATGTCATGTTACATCTTCATTTTTTTTCCAATCGCCTTCCATTTTTCCTAACATTATTTTTTTTACCCAGTGAGTCTCGTCTTTTCGTAACACAGCCAAACTATGACACCAAGTTCAGGCTTGATCTGATCCGAGGCTGCAACTACATTGGAGCAATTTGGCTTTCCTGCAGTTCGATCCACAGCCTATCTTCCTCTTCCATTTGCTTTGAGTGATCACACCAGGGCTGCAGACTGACCCTCAAAGTACAATCTGCATTTCAGGCCACAGCTTCCCTCCCTTCCTTTGTTCCTGCCTCTGCAGCTGCTTTTATGGTTCGCTTTTAAAAAAAAATTCAGCAGAGGTGATCTGATGCTAAACTAATATATTAATGCAATGACATGGTGCTGAACTTGCTTATTAATGAAAAAATATATATCAGGAATATCAGGGAAAGATAGTGGGGGCAGCTATTCATACTCTCTCTAAACATCATGTCCCAGCTGCCTACATCACCACAACACCACCCGCAGGCATGCCTCCTTGTTAGATACAAACAGGGTAAATAAAACAATCGGGTGAATAAAATAAAGTAACGTGGCTTATTCTCACACACACAAGCATACAGTTTGGTTCACCTAGAACCTTTAACTTAAAGCACAGACCCTGAACCCATCAGTTCTGGCTAACCCACAGACACCTGAACTTATCAGGTTGGTACTCTGACACACAGTAGTACCCTGTCAGACACCCAGACTCCCACAACAGCTTCTTCTTCCCCAGCTGCTGCTTCGTCCCAACCCAGTGTCTCACAGTCTGTCTCAGCATCTCCTCTTCACCACACAGGCATCACATATTTATACAGTACAGCCCCTCCTCCTGATGTCCCGCCTTCCACTCCCCATAGGATGGAACTTTCCCTCCAAACCCATGACAGACAGGTAACATCAGTGCTGTTATGTAACAATCATAAAGTTAAAAGTCTGTTTAAATTGTTCTGGATTGAAAAAGGCAGAAGAAGCTCTCAGTGACAGAAGAAAAACTCCATTTCAGGAGCAAAAAGAGCAGGATTCATTCAAATTAGCCTTTGCATCAGGTGATTGGTGGGGAGTGGGAAGAATTCATTCATTTTATAACCAGAGCAAATCTTGGTGTATTTTACTCTGTAGTCACAGCCTGAGTTGGGATTTTTCCCCTTCCTGTCAGTTTAGTATCTTGTCAAAGGCCTGTCTGAACTTAAAGGTCTGCTGGATTTTCACATCCATATCCAGAAATCAAGAATGCCATAGTATGAATGACCTTGGCCTTAAGTCTCCAGCAACAATTCTTACTTACAGTAAGGGTTTTTCTCTTGCAGTGTCACTTTCCACTGCTTTCCATTGAGCATTTCTACATCCCCCACTGAAATATCATCCAATTTTCTTCTGCTAATATTGCTTTTTTTTTTTTTACAGAATAACAAAAACGACAGATCAGAGAATGTTATGAATGAAATCTACCTCCATTTCAGTAATGCTTTTGACTGGCTGTTTATAGTCAAAGTACCTAAGGTATGTTTACCCCCATTAAATATTAAAAACATTTCTGTTTAGACAGGCCTTCCTATACTCGATGACATCTGATACAATAGTGCTAAAATGACCAGAATTCAATCTCTACCATGATTTCTTTATTTTAATTTAATGTTCTATTGATATTGTTTTTATCTGTTGATATTGTATTGATTATAGTCTGCTTTGTATTGTTTGTCTTTATATTTTGTTTTATGGGATTTTGTAAAACCACCCAGAATGGCCTGGGTTGCCAGATGGGCGGTACAGAAATTAAACAAATTTCCCACTAAACTTAGGACAATCCTCACAGCAGCTGAGGGGAAATTGATTTTCCAGCAAGGATATATTGCTGTGAGCTTTCTCTGCTGTAATGCAAACTATTCTAGTGTGTGTGTCTTGGCCTGGAATGAACAGTTCACTCCCATCAGATTAGCAAAATATGTACCTGTTCTTCATGGAGGGGAAAACTGCTGGAACTGTTCTGTTGGTATGAATTGACATATTTTGTGTTTATTTTTCTTGAGGAGCTTATCTATAGGGAATGCTGCACAGGCTACCTACCTACACATCGAAATTTGCCACTATACCACAGGGGAAAATGGATTTCCCAAGAATCAATAAAATGATGATGGTGCATTATCAAGTCATCTCTGACGTATGGCAACCTTTTCCAGGGTTTTCTAGGTATAAAACACTTGCGGTGATGGTTTACCATTCCCTTCTTCTGGGGGCATCCTGGGACTGCGCAGCTTGACCAAGGCTATACAGACTGACTTTTCCCTAGAAGGCACAGAGGGAATCAAGCTCTCAACCTCTGGCTCATATGTAAGCCACTGAGCTATATATAAAATCAGGAGAAAGGGTCCTCAAAACAATACAAATGCAGGAATAGGTGATACATATACAAGTGTATTATGTTGAAACTACCCGTGATAACTTGATGCGGAGCCTGAGGAAGGTGAATAGCTCCGTCTATTTTTTTTTTGTTTTATTTTCTTAATGGTCCAATAAAAGTATCACCTATTCCTGCATTAGTATTTGTACACATATTCTTCACATACAAAAGCATATGGCTACAGATCAATACAGCCGCCTGCCTTTGCGACTTTCTACGACGTCTCCACGAGTGCCTGCCCTTCCCACGCCGCTGTCGCTCCTCTTCCTCCTTGCTGATTGTGAAAGGTGTCTTTTGTCGAATAAGGGCCTCGTCACTGTGACAGGCGACCTTCTAGTAAACACACACACAGAGAGAGAGAGCCTGGCCGTGCAAACGAGAGTCCCTCGAAGGCACCTCGCTCCTGATTGGCTGCTTTCCTCGCACCTCTGCCCGCCTTTTTTTTCTCATTGGACGGCTCTTCCTCCCACTCCGCCCCCCCTCACAGCTGGACTATGCGTGTCCAATTTCCCGCCGGTGGCGGAGGTGGAGACTCGTTGCGATCGAAGCCACGCTGATATCCTAACCCGAGAGAGGCTGAGAGGGGGGCGCAGCTCTTCCCCACGACTTTCCCCTGATTGGGCGGGGGCGGCGACGCCCCTTTCCCGCCCCGCACTCTTTGCCTGCCCATAAATTGGGGGGCGGGACGGCGGGGCTCGCTCCGGGCTCTAAAGGGAGGCTGACCGGGCAGGTTGTGGGTGTTGCCGCTGCCGCCACCTCCGAGCACTGCCGCTGTTTCCCCCCCCGCTCCAGCTGCGCCCCCCCCGTCCGTGCCATCATGACAGACCGATCCACCTTCGACACTAACGTGACCACCCTGACCCGGTTCGTGATGGAGGAGGGCAGGAAAGCGAGCGGCACCGGCGAGCTCACCCAGCTCCTCAACTCCCTTTGCACCGCCGTCAAGGCCATCTCCACCGCCGTGCGCAAGGCGGGCATCGCCAACCTGTGAGTGAGGGGCCGGGGGAGCGGGTGTGAGGTCGTGGGGAAGTGCAAAACAACCCCTGTCCGTCGCCCCCTCGCCACGCCTCCCCAAACGGAGATCAGCCTTCCGGGTTTCCTTTTCAGGTGCAAGAGCACTTCGGAAACTGCCCCGGGCGATCGGTCGCGTCTCCCGCCGGGGTGCTTCCCAGGCTCCACTACTCAGATATTGCAGGAGAATACATCTCCCATCACGGGCCGTTATTGCCTGGGGATGATGGGAGCTCTTGTTCAACCTTATTTGGGTCTCCAGGTGGAGAACCATTGCTAGCACTTTAGGAAGCCAACCAACTTTCACCCGCGTCGCAGCAGCCTCCGGGTGAGGGAGCAGGATTGGGCTCGGTGGGAGCTGCTGCTTCTCCCCACCCACTGGCATTCCCTTTCATCTCTCTCATTCTGTTTTGGGGGGTCACTTTCCTCGGCCTGGTGCTCTCCAGCTGTGTTGGAATGCAACTCCTATGACAGGGAGCTGGTAATATACTGCACTTTTGCTGAGGGATAATAGAAATTGTACACATCTGGAGGGTACAGGGCTTCGGAAAAGTGGCTCAATGCAAAAAACGCCCCAGCCCCTTTTCTCCCCTGATTGTATGCCTGATGCATTGTTTCTCTGTAAAAAAGAATGGCAATTCAGCCTAATGAATCCAGAGATGGGTGAAAAGCAAAAGAGAAATAGAAAGTTTAAAAAAGACAAAAATGTCTTATGTCTGATGAAGTGGACTTGTCTGCAGAAGTTCACGTTAAAAAAATGCTTGCACAGAGTAATGTGACTGTCCCTTCTATAACTACAGAGATGGGTGGTAATTGTGACCTGGTGAATATGACAGCTTCAGTTTCTACTTAGTAGGCGCCTTGGGCCCTGCAAGGGAGAAAGTCTGGTTGTAAAGAAATGAAATTAATTCAATTTACTCATTTAGCCCTGCTGAACAGCCTTCTTACACCTGTCCTCTAATTTGGTGAGCACAGCAAGGTGGGTGAAGCCCAACAAGCTCTACTTTAATTGTGCAGGGGTGAAACTGCAGTACTGCACTCAAGACTCTTCTCAGGACCTGAGTTTGATCCAAATGGGCTCAGGTTGACTCAGCCTTCCATCCTTCTGGGACTGGTAAATTTAGTACCCAACTTGCAAGGTGTGTGTGGAGAGTAATGTGTAGCCTGCAAAATAAATTGTAAACCATCCAGAGAGTGCTTTAAGCACTATGGGGTGGTAGTGTATATAAGCAACACAGTTTTCCTTATTCTGTAGGGCCTACTGTGTCATCCTAAAAGGGAAGACAAGTTAACACAGGCAGTGGCTATTGTGGTTTCCAGTTGCTTACACTGGGTAACTCCATTTATTCTCCTGCCCAGGAAAAGGTTGAGCAAAGAAGTTTTGCTTCAACGCAAATGGTCAAAAACAGCTCTTAGTGACTCAACCCACTGTACTAGAGGAAGGAGACGCACAGAGAGAGAAAGCTACTCTGTAGATTAGAGGGTGTGGCTGACTGCCTTCTCCTTTTGCTTGGCTGCCCTTTCTTTACAAGTAGAACATAACTGGGCCGGGGGTGTGTGTGTCCAGTTTCAGGTTTGGCACCAGCCAGAGCAGAAGTGCTGCTTCCCCTTTCTTGCCTTGCACTCTTTCTTTGGAAGCTGTAGTGGATCGAGAAAGTGCATCTTGCCTGTACTGGCTCACCCTCCTTCCCCCTCTGCTTGGTGCAATAGAGAGAACGGAGCTTGTGGTGCCCAGTGTCCAGCATGGTGCCACCTCAAAGGAGGGCACAACATGAGCGAGGGAGAGGACAAACTGGTTGTGTCCATTCCCACAACCTGCTCTCCCTAGAGAGGGTGAGTGAATGCTCAAGAGGTGGCAGTTTGCACTCTCTTTGGGCAAAATTAGCAGCCTTCAACACAGCAGCTAATGCCAAGGAGAGCAAAACTCATCCTGAAGTGAGGTCCATCTACTTCAGTATTTCTGGATCAGTGCTAAGTTCAGGGTCTTGCTATCCGTGTACCATGTTCAGGATAATCATTTTGTTTACAACACATCTGCCTTCACCCTGGTTTCCTAGAGGTCAGGCCATTTTTTAATGTACAGCGGTACCTCGGTTTACAAACGCCTCGGTTAACATATTTTTCGGTTTACGAATGAAAATCCATTGAAAATAATGCCTTGGTTTATGAATTTCATTCACAATAGGAAGCAAATTTCCCCAGGATGCATTGCGCCTGGGAGGTTTATAGTGCTGCCCCCATGCATGCATTCCTATGGGCAACTGCGTTTCGATTTATGAATTTTTCGCAATACGAAACGGCCTGGAGAATGCATTAAATCCATAAACCGAGGTACCACTGTACTACGGCAGTGGTTTCCAGCCTTGGGTCCCCAGATGTTCTTGGACTGCAATTCCCAGAAATCCTGGCCAGCACAGCTAATGGCAAAGGCTTCTGGGAGATTTAGTGCAAGAATATCTGGGAACCCTAGGTTGGGAATCACTGTCCTATAGCTTTTGTCATAGGACTCTCCTTGGATTCGTATCAGGTGGGTGGCCCTCCAGATGTTGTTAGACTGCAGCTTTAATCAACCCTAGCTGGCATAGCTAATGATGAGGGATTGTGAGGACTGCTGTCAGACAACACCAGGAAAGAGAAAGGTACTTTACCTACCAAGTCAGAGTGTAGTGAAGAGGTACCAGCTATAAGGAACTGGTAAAACTTGCCCGATTTCTAAGCAACCTGGGCTTTTTTCATTCTGACACTCGTAGACATGATGGTCGGTGGCGGAACCCACCTGAAAACAGGTACAGCTTCATTACTGTGTCAATGAAGTTTAAGTCATCAGTAATCAAATGCACATATTAACTTAGCTCCACCTAAACCTGGAAATCTTTTGTCTGCACTTGTATTTTGCAATATGTGCCAAATATTTTTGTGTGTTCAGAGTGAGAGGTGACAGGTGTGTAGGCTTTGTGCCGTCTAACTATCTACTCCCAAGAGCCCTTGTTTATTCCTGACCTGTATCAGCTTCTCTCAGTTCACCACCCTCTGAGATTATTAAGATACAACATCCATCATTCACACTAGGCATGTATGATATTTTCAGATTAATGTTCGAGACCAGACTGAATCAGGAAAATGTGTGCACTTCTGGGCCTGTGTAGTTTTGTTAGATGATGAAGACTGAAAGTTTGTGTGGCTGTTATGAGATTTACGTTGACAGATCATATAAGTGGGGTGCTGCATAGCGCGCATGTGCGCACACACACACACAAGAAAGTTTGTGTGGCTGTTATGAGATTTACATCGACAGGTCATATAAGTGGGGTGCTGCATAGCACGCACACGCGCGCGCACACACACACACACAAATATCTAGGCATTGCCATTTGCATTTCCTCCCCATTTGCAGGAACTTCTCTGTGTATTTCTGGAGCTTCATTTGTGTCACAGACCCAGGGAAGGAGCAGGCAGGTTGGAATCTCTCCTAAAGGAAACAGGTTGGGTTGCCTCTTATCTTTACCCCCTTCACACAGATACGGAGTGAATTAGGGGGATCCCACATGCCTGTAATTCACCCCAGACATTGTCATTTATGGATGGGGATTATGGGTGTTGTAATTCAGCATCTCTGGAGGAAGTCAGAAGGGGAAACTGACCTATCATATATGGACAGCATTCACAGTAATCCTATAAAATAGCAGATTACATCCGATCAAATGAGGCAACAAGGCTATGCCCATTTCTCCTTCTCATTAGGAAACATTTAAAAGAGATAGGAAAAGTTGCTTTCTGGACTACAACTTCAGGATCACCCAGCCAGCATAACTGGGGGAATTCTGCTAATTATAATCTAGAAAAGCAAGTTTTTGGAGCTTTGGAAGTTGATTAACAGAGCTGTAGGGCAGTAGAGAAAAAAAGAACAATGGCCTCTGTACTTGATGGGGTAATGTTTTCTTTCAGTCTCCTATTACAATGTACTCCTCCCATTTTCTTCTTTAAAAAAGCATTTCCTCTTATACAACAAAATATGCAGCATGGACACCCTCTAATTTTGTTGCTTCTCTCATGAGCAAGTTCTGGTGCAACTGTAACTTTTGTAATTCCATTTCCCCAGGAAGTGGTCACACGAAGAAACTAGTGTCCCATTCTCTGTATGTCTGTCTGTTTGGACACCACTTTCTTAAACTCCCAAAAAAACAGTTATGCAAATCCTTCCCTCACTGAGTCTAGCTAATTTACAACACAGTTCAGCCATCATCCTAGCGATTTTCATTATTGTCAATACACCCTGATATTAGTACAACAGCTAGTTGATGTGTTACTCAGCCAACAGCTTTGCTGATCTTCTCACAATATATTTCTAGAAAATACTTATGTTGGCTAGTATGCTGCTGGCTAGTTTCAACTAGACACATGGAGTTGATGGGATTTCAGTAGAACTGATTTGTGCCTATTCATTTTTTTTTTGCCAAACAGATACTCGGTGCTTCTCAGCTTAAACTCCTCTGGTGGGTGTCCATTCAGAGGAAGCACCTGGAGGAGTCAGGGCAGGGAAGCTCTGTCTCTGAGTGGACGCCTGTCACAGGAGTTGAGACTGGGAAGCACTGAACACCAGCCAAAAAGTGAACTGGCATGAACCGCCGAACTGGCAGTTCTTGCCCATCTCTAGATTTGAAATTTTTTTTTTGGTATTGGAAACAACCCAGTACAATTAATGTATCAGATAATTTCCACCCTGTAATGGGCAACATCAAGAGCTTTGGAGGCAGTTAACATTGTATCTTCCATAGTACATGTTGAGGGACAGAGTTCACAATGACAGAGGGGTGAAGTTGCCTGTTCTTCCCTGCACTCACAAAGTACTGTGTTGCTGCAAATTCCTCATTTTCTTACGTTCACTTTGGTTCTGTGCCTTCACTTCATCGTTCATGAAGTGACTTCCAAGTAACCCAGTTCTGTATGTGAGCAGGGGATGGACTTTCCCACTGTTCCATCCATTTTTAAAGGTGGACAGTTCATTTTTTCTGCATCATAGGCCTGACATTCTCTGCTATTCCTTTAAGATTTGCAAAAATTCTGAAATCCCCACCCCTTTACTTTAGTTTGAAAGGACGGATGGTAGCCAAAGAGTGGGTGGACATGTGATAGATATGCTTTGAGTCTATATTAACTGTGATCTCTCTTCATATGTCACTGGATGCAATGCCTGCTAAGTACAGTGGTGCCTCACTTAGCGATGTTAATCCGTGCAGAAAAAAATCGCTGCTAAGCGATAACATCGCTAAGCGAAAATAAAAAGCCCATAGAAACACATTAAAACGTGATTAATGTGTTCCTATGGGCTAAAAACTCATCTTTAAGTGAAGATCCTCCATAGCGCCGCCATTTTCGGTGCCTCTAAAGCGAGGTATCCGTGCCTGAAGACAGCGGGCGGTCATTTTGTTTTCCCGGCCCCCATTTTGAAACCGCCGATCAGCTGGCCGAAAATGGGGGCTTTGCAATCATCGCAAAGCGAATTTCCCCCATAGGGACCATCGCAGAGTGATCACTTTTGCAATGGCAAAAAGTCCATCGCAAAGTGATTTTGTCGCTATACGGAGCAATTGCTATGCGAGGCACCACTGTAGTTGATTGTATCAATAGGAGTTGGCTTTAGAGGGACATGGAAGGAGCCCTTCCAAAGAAGCAAAGCAAAAGCAAAGTGTGCTGCTTATATACCGCCCCATAGTGCTTCAAGCACTCTCTGGGCGGTTTACAAGTTAATTATGCAGGCTACACATTGCCGCCCCAGCAAGCTGGGCACTCATTTTACCAACCTCAGAAGGATAGAAGGCTGAGTCAACTTTGAGCCAGCTACCTGGGATTGAAACCCAGGTCGTGAGCACAGTTTTGGCTGCAGTACAGCAGTTTAACCACGAGGCTCTTGTTAGAGAGAATGTGAACACCTGGGCAATGATAATGTCTGTTGGTTGATTCTTCCATTCCAGAAGCACCAACATAAGGTGGATTTCAATAAGCATTGACTTAAAGGTAAAGGCTCCCCTTGACATTTAGTCCAGTCGTGTCCGACTCTGGGGCGTGGTGCTCATCCCCATTTCCAAGCCATAGAGCCAGCGTTTGTCTGAAGACAGTTTCTGTGGTCATGTGGCCAGCGCAACTACACACAGAATGCTGTTATCTTCCCACCGTGGTGGTACCTAATTATCTGCTCGCATTTTTACATGCTTTCAAACTGCTAGGTTGGCAGGAGCTGGAACAAGCAACGGGAGCTCCATCATGTGGATTCGATCTTACGACTGCTGGTCTTCTGACCTTGCAGCACAGAGGCTTCTGCAGTTTAATCCGCAGCGCCACCACATCCCCATTAGGGGATTCAGCAATTGAGTTAGTGGGTATTCTTTAGTTTGAATGAGCCCTAGGTTTCTGATATGGTCTTATTTTGGCATAGTTTTATTAAAATAGATTATTTACGCATTTTAAATGTTAGATTGCATAGAGACTTGCATGAAAAGAGATTTCTGAGAAATCCAGGAGCATGCTTTAGCCTTTGCCCCTGATAATGTATTATTTGAACAGCACATTTTGCCTTAGGCAGTGTTTACAGTTCAAGGTACGTTTCATGCGCATTAGCGTTTCTGCATCAATTGCACAAGAGTTTTCTTGCTAAATTCATGATTGAAATGAGTTCTGAAGAGCAAAAAAGAGAAAACTGATTTGTTCCCTGTTTCAAAAACCAGTATTCTGTGGTTATTTAACTGTAAGCCTCTGGAAAGCTAGGCATCTGCTCTGTTCTTGTTTGTTAAAATCAGTGAAATATAAAATTGCTAATCTGATTGAATTGCTTCCTAAACAGGTCTGGGGGGGGGGCAAAGGTGGCTCCTAATGATTGATCAAATTCTGTTCTTTGCCAAGGGAGAAAATAATACTCTTTTTATCTTTTGCAACTCTTTTAAAACATTTTAGAAATGTTAATTGCTGTGAAAATAGCTTTCTTTTTTATCATTTACATCCTTGCAAGTCTCACCAGTATCTGAAGACAATAGTAAAGATTTAAGGAAATGGCTGTTGTGCTTATCTTAAAGTTTTAAGAAAAATTAAGTAAGGCTGAGTGATATTTCTGAGAGTTAGAAAACAAATATCAACATTCAAATATGAAAAATTGGATACTTGTCTATAGTCCAGTATAACTCTATACTGCAGGGGAGAAGGTAAGATCCTTTCCTGCCTTCCAAGTGCAGATCCCGATGAACTGCTCCTTTGCTCTTCCTTCTTTATTGGCCAAGCTAGCTGAGGCTGATGGAGACTGGAAGTCAACCACAGTCTTTAGGACAACAGTTTCTCTAGTACACAGTTTAGCATGATGTGACTAAACCACTGAGAGCCTTGGATTCGCATGCTCCTCCTCTCCTCCAAGATGGCCATCAGGAGGCATTCTAAAGCTTTTCTTTTTTGTTATATTAATGATAAAAAGTCATGTTGTTTACACACAGCAAAGTGTAGTTAATCTATTTCAAGTTGTTTTGAAGCAATCCCACTTCAGACCATGGATTATGAAACAGGCTTGTCTAAACAGACCATAGTTTAGCATTCAGATGGCACGTTCAACTATGGTTAATTGAAAAAGAATGAGCACTCCTGAACAGACATTGTTCAACTCCCATTTCTCCCAACTGGCAATACAGTATTTGGAGGATCAGAGGTTTTATTTAATTTAATTAGGATGGATTGATGGATGGATGGATTTATTTGCATTTTTATGCCGCCCTTTTACTGAAGACACAACTCTGGGCAGTTTACAAATGAAACTCAGAACCCCATATGCCCCATAAAACAATGCAATCCATATGGGGATTCACTGATCCAGATCTAAAATAGAAGAAAAAAGAAAGCACAAGAAAGGGAAAAATAGTAACAGTATCTGGGGATAAGTTATTAAAGGCAGCTTTGTATAGTTCTGACTTCACTCATTTCCTGAATATCAGGAGGGATAGGGCCTGGTGTACCTAATTTGGAACCTTGTTTCAAAAATTGGGGTCCACCACCAAGATGGCCTGATTCTTTGTTGTCAACTTTTTTGACCTCGCTTAGTGTGACCACTTTTAGCAGCAAGGACTAAGAGGAGCGGGTGAAACACATAGCTATTTTCTCAGAGAGACGTTCCAACAGGTATTAAGGTTCTAAACATTAAGGGCTGAACCAGCACCTTGAATTCAGCATGGAAACTGGCAGGAAGCCAATAAAGGCAAGTAGAAAGCATTATGTTAGTCTGTTTTTGAGATTGCCAGTGTGTGAACCACTGTTACTAGACATTTCTTATATAGGCAGGGATGCAACTGGGCAATTAAACAGAGCTGATAAAAGGTAGTCCTGGCCACAACCACTATATGAGCTGCCTTAGGGAGTGCGGCGTCCAGGAGTTGATCTTTCAGGGGGAGTGCAACACAATCAAGGCTGAATGATGTCTCCCAGTGGCTTCATGGTTGATCCCTGTGGGACTCCATAGCAGAGGTGCTAAGGGTAGAGATAGCATTCCTAAGCTGTACCATCTGGGATTGGTCACCAGGGTAAGACCAGAACCCACGGAGCCCCTGATCTCTAAACTCAATAGCTTTTCCAAAAAGATGGTCAATGGTATCAAAGGCCACAGAAAGACCCAGGAGGACCAGCAGTTACACTTCCCCTGTCTGTCTTCGTTAGGATATCATCTTGCTGGCCAACCAATGCTGTTTCAATTCCATGTCGCACCTAAACCCTGATTGAAATGGATCTAGACTGCAATTTATCATCCTGCAACTGATTGCCCATCACCCTCTTGTTAACTTGTCCAGAAACTGAATATTTGTGACGCATCTGTAGTTGTTTGGATCATCCATTTGTTTTGTTAAGAATGGGCCTTATTAGGGTTTCTTTTAATCAGGAGGGTGTGTGGTCTTCCTGAAGAGGTGCATTGATTAAATGGATGGCCTATTCTACTGTTGCATTCTTGGAAGATTTTAGTAGTCAAGACAGGCAAAGAATTTAAAAATTCATAGTGTAGCTTCATAGTGTGCCAATGTCTAGTGTAAATCCTCAGGCCTGCTGGCTGAAACTGATCCAATAAACCAGAGGTCTCCATACATTTGAGCTTGAGGGCTACATAGTATATTTTCAACATTTTTGAGGACAGAAGGAACTTGTGTGCACGTGCATCTGCACCAACCCCCGCATGCATGCCCTCCCCACCCACATGCACACAAACTGGAGGGAACGGGCCAGATAAAACAGCAAGGCAGGCCAGATGTGGCCCACAGGCCATAGTTTGGAGACCCCTGCAATAAACCTAACTAGCATACTGTCCTGGGGGGATCCTGGGAGTCATCCATAAAAGTATACACTAGTTTCTAAGGGCTGTTACTTACTTCCAGCCTTCCCAACCTCCCCTTTGATTGTAGAGAAATTGTCATACTTTCCAACCTCCCTTTTACATTACCCAATTCTCATTAAAAGGACGATCAAATTGAATTTAAAAATAAACACTAGACATCTAACTTAAAATCTAATCTAAACATCTAATATAAAATATTTCAGATGTAAAAAAGCACAAAAATTTTGCTTACCACAAAAAGTTACAGCAGTTTATGCTAGTAAAAATGTATTTTTTCCCTTAATGACAGTCTCAGTAGTCTGTGCTCCATTTGAATTCCTTTGCTTTCTTTTTCTCTGTATCAGACATACAGAGTGTTTAGCAATCCTTGATCCAGAACCCTGAGTAATTCTAGTGAAGTATAACATATCCCTTATGGAGAGCTTCAAGTAGTGGTGGGACCAAAGTCTTCCCGGTTTTGTGTAAGTTAATGGAGTGAAGTTTGACACATGAGCAGCTAAGACTTGTGCCTCACCAGCTTAAAACAAAACAAATGTTTCTTTGGGTGGTCTTTTTCTGATGCTTCTTTTCTCTTGGTGCAGTTACGGAATTGCTGGTTCTACCAATGTGACAGGGGACCAAGTAAAGAAGTTGGATGTCCTTTCCAATGACATGGTGATCAATATGCTCAAGTCATCTTTCACAACTTGTATGATTGTATCGGAGGAAAACAAAGATGTCCTCATTGTGGAAGAAGACAAACAAGTCAGTGTCTCTCACAGCTTTTCCAATACTGACTTTCAAAGTGAGGTTGAGCAACAAATATCTCTGTAACATGTAAAAATTAACCTAAGGTGTGGGTGCGACAGGACAAAGGGCAGCACCTTTCTGTATTCATGTAATCAGGCAGTATTGCTGGTAGCCCTTAGTATTACAGAGAAAATATCGGCTTTTAATTCATCCTAATGCAAGGGACGTGGTGGTGCTGTGGGTTAACCCGCAGAAGCCTCTGTGCTGCAAGGTCAGAAGACCCGCAGTCATAAGATTGAATCCATGTGACAGAGTGAGCTCCTGTCGCTTGTCCCAACTCCTGCCAACCTAGTAGTTCGAAAGCATGTAAATGTGAGTAGATAAATAGGTACCACCATGGTGGGAAGGTAACAGCGTTCCGTGTCTAGTTGCGCTGGTCACTTGACCACGGAAACTGTCTACGGACAGACGCTGGCTCTATGGCTTGGAGACAGGGATGAGCACCGCGCCCTAGAGGCAGACATGTCTGGACTGTCAAGGGGAAACTTTAACTTTAAATCAAGGGAAGGCCCTGAAAAAGCTGCAGTGGTCAAGAGGGGATGTTTAGTTCTTCCTCTGTTCGATAATTTTCTTGACCCTGTGCTACTTTGAAAGGCCCCTTGCCCTCTTTTGCAAAATTGGAAGAGAGTTCAAATTGAAGAGAAAAACTGCTTTGAGACATTCATTGTTGAGAACTGGTGGAAACAGCCAGGATTACATACTGTTTCTTCTATCAGTCATCCTCGTGCTGTCCTACTTTCCCCATTATATGGGGAAAAGGCGTTTGGACCATATATTTACAGGGATCCCTCAATTGACGCCTATATATGTTGCACTGCAACCTTTTGCTCCCATTATCTTGATGACAGCAAATTCCAAAGTCTCATGTTTAACTAAGAAAATTATTTAAAATGACACATGAAGGTACTTCTGTTTCTATGCACTGGACTCCAGTAGATGAGTCTGAGCTTCACTTCCCCTTGACTAGCCCATCAGGATCAAGAACAAAACCCTTCCTTCCCCCCACCTTTGTGGGCCAACTCTTCAAAAAAAAAGGTTGAGTACAAGTGGAGCTTGCAGTTTACAAATCAGTAACTGTCTTGAAATACTTATAGAATAGGTTGTAAGTGCTTCCATACTCCACTGCCAAATTTCAGCAGCACAATAAAAATCACAATTTACTTTTAAAACATGCTTCCCGCAGAAGTTGCCTGTATACTTAAAATATAAAATGTTAGGTGTGTGTATTATGCCTTAAAATTTTGTTAAGGTAAGAATAACCGTTCTGATAATATTTTCCTCTGTGTTTTGAGAAGGAAAATTGAGTTCTTTAATGCTACAAAAACCTGTATTGTCTATTCTACCTGGAGCCTCACTGAGTCATGTGGCATCCAGTTTAATGGCACTTATATAGCAGAAAGGTTTTAGCAGATTGGACGCTTATCCTTGCGTCATGGCTTATATGACGATTTTGTTTCAAGTCCAGGACTTCTGCTGTTGGTTATAAATGTTCTCAGATGTTTAAGGATTTTTTTGGGGGAGTTGCCTGTTTGTTATGGTCAGGTGTGGTTTTTTTAATGCTTACTTGGGCAATACATATTCTGGAATATGCAGTAGGAGGAAAATTTGCCAAACATTTCTTAAAATGTTGCTGCTGAAATAAACTTCTCTACTACCTGCAATCTCACAGCATTATGTGCTTCAGTGACTGAGTTCCTGCATTTAAAACCCTTAACTGTTTTGTTGTTGTTGTTGTTGTTGTTGTTGTTGTTGTTGTTGTTGTTGTTGTTGTTGTTAATTTATTTTTATTTATTTTTATATTTATTTTTTTAATTGTTTATTTTTATTTATTTTATTTATATCCTGCCTATCGGGTCGAATCAGGACCACTCTAGGCGGCTAACAACAAAAAATAGTACAATAAATATATATACAAAACTATTTTTACATAGCAAAAGCATTAACAAGATGGAAGAAACAATAGGAGAGGGAAGAAAAGGGTCTCAGGGTGACGTAGTTTTGTTCAAGCGATCAAACTTGGACAGTCTTCTCTTTTAAAAAAAAGTTATGTCTGAATAGTACAAAATTAAGACGTGTCATGTGTACTTCAGAACCCACCAGCCTGAGACCTATTGGAAATTCTTCTGTTTAACTCCATATAGATGGTGTTGGAGACATTGCCAGAAATCCTGACAAAAGTGCTTATTCTGTAAATGTTTCAGCAGAGAAACAAGGATACGTTTGCTTGTATAGTTTTGTTGTAATTGTATTTTTACCAATGCTCTTTTTCCATAGGGCAAATATATTGTCTGCATGGATCCACTTGATGGCTCTTCTAACATTGACTGTCTTGTTTCCATTGGAACCATTTTTGCCATCTACAGAAAGGTCAGAAAATTGCAGTGGTTGCTACCAAAAATAGTGATGCTATAGGAGTAATTAAAACTAAAACCATTGCTTTGAAAATGATTTGTAGATTCATAGTCAGCAGTGACAAGTGTTAACTGATGGGAATGATCATTAGGACACAATCAAATCAGATATGATTTTTTCCTTGCAGAAGAAGGTGTAGATTCATCTTATCCAGAGTTCTTATGTGTCAATAAGAGTCTGGTTAATTCCAGTAGGAATACTATTTGCAGCATCAATTTGATAATTGCCAACTTCTGTACTTATTTTTGCCTGTTTTGTACTTATTATGCATACTTTTAAAACTTATTCCACAGTACTATGTCTCCCCTCCTGCTCCTGCTTTCCTACAGTGGTTGTAATCACTTCTTTCTCTCCTGTCCTTATGCAGTGAAATCCCTTTCTAAGTAGGATAACAATATTTTCACTAACTTCAGAAACTAGCATTTGAGAAAGGACTTTTGCCCCTTGCACATTACTAATGGATACCTTTAAACCAACAAAGTCTTTTTATAGGTACTTATTAAATGTACAAGCAATAGGCATATTTAATAAAGATTGGACCAGCGATGGATGACCCTGTGAGGTTAAAAGAGGAAGATGGTAGGAAAGGAGAAGAGGCTCTTTGTTTTTATCAGATACCCCTTGGTCTTTAAAAAAATCATAAATTTCAAGATAGTTTCTTAATACACCCAAAAGTAATGAGAGTGGCACATAGGCATGCAGCTAGATGCTCGGAGTTGACCTAGTCCTCAGGTGGACTGAAAGGGAATAAGCTGCATGCCCTCTAGCTGCTTTTTAGCCAGGAATTTAAAGTAGGGGGGATCTGATAGAATTGGGGCTTGCCTGTGTATGTCTTCAAACCCAGTCCTCCCTATCCCCAAGTATAGGCTATTAGAAGATATGCTTGGGATTAGGTTTGTGGGCCTTGAATGCAGCTGGCAGTCCCAACTACAGTAGATCTAGTGAATCACAATTGTTTCCATAAATATTAACTCGCCATTCATTGATTCAGTTGTGGTTTTCAATTTTGCTAGTTTGGAATAGTATTTGGCTTTAGGTCGTGGTGATTACAATCAGTAGGAATGTCTTAGCAGGAGTGTTCATTAGGCTTAGGAAGAGCATGACTAAACCTAATTCTCGAAAAATTACCGTTTCTATAGCTTAGAAGAGTCTACTCACCAATAACTAGGGTTTATGTTGGTGAAGAGGTAATGAGATATACCCTATCATACTCTAAATGGTTACTTACACTGAGGAGGATTCTTCAGACAATTGGGATTAGGGAAATCTCCTCCAGCACTAAAGTACCAGTCAAGCCCCCATTCATGCCAGCCACATGAAAATATCTTCAGTAGATCAGGATTACCCTTTCCAGTTATCTTTCTTTAGCCATCTCCATCTCTGATATTTATGAGGAGGAGATCTCTCCAGAATACCTTGAGATAAAAATTGCTGTTCTAAACTTCCAGATCTGAAAGCTTTTCTCTCTTTCTCTCTCCATCTCTGATATTTATGAGGAGGAGAATACCTTGAGGTAAAAATTGCTGTTATAAACTTCCAGATCTGAAAGCTTTTCTATCTTTCTCAAGGTTTCACCAGGTGCACCTTCTGAGAAAGATGCTCTGCAACCAGGACGTAATCTAGTGGCAGCTGGTTATGCCCTCTATGGCAGTGCCACCATGCTTGTTCTGGCGTTGGAATGTGGTGTCAACTGTTTTATGCTTGATCCGGTAAGGAATTTAAGTGAGGACTGGCCCATGGCTTTTTATTTTTTGTGCTTTACAATCATCTATTTGTGAACCATGTATACATATGAGAAATAGGATTTTTGTAAAGGAAATGAATGAAGTCAATTCTGCTCTTAAAATGGCATGTGGAGTAACAAAACACTGTTCTTAAAGGAGTCACTTAAAGTGAGTGCCAGACAAGGAAGAGGTCATTGGCTTAAGACTCCTGAGTTAAACTTCTTGCTTGGCCTTGGTTTTGCAGTTATGTTCTTTCAGTCTCTAGTTTCTGTGTGTGAAATGAGAATAGAAAGGTACAAGTTTGCTGTGATGCTAACAAGTTGAAAATCATGGTGGTCTTTGTAAGATGAATTGCTTCCTAGTCAAGGTAGTTCATGCTACTGAAAGGTAGGGGGCGCTACAAGCTCCAGCCACCCTGCCAGGCCATTCTCACCATATCTTCTTCCAACTCAGTCAGCCCAGAATGCCTTGTTCATTTCCACTTTTAGAACCAATTTATATACAGGAAAGCTATAGCTAATATACTGCAAAGCATCTGTTCCATTTTTCTTAACCAAAGGATACCTGGGGTCACCAGTCTGGTTTACAACTGGAATGCAGGGTGTAGGGGACTTCAGCCTTTTGCCTCCCACTGTCCTTCTGCTCCGTTGTTGAGCAAGGAGACTAGCAAGCCTACAACTTGTATAAGAAAAAAAAATCCATAAAAGCGAAGTGAAACGGGACGAGTTCCTTGTGCAGATGGCGGGACCTAACTTGCGTCCATAGTTGTTGGACACAAAGAGTGAAGATTATAAGTTGGGACACCCTTACTTTTGAGTATTTAAAAAGGAGCAGATTTAGCTGCAGGATGTATATGAAAGGGAAAGACCAGCTTTCATATATCCATCAGTCTTTAGTATATCCATTTTTTTTGGCTCTTAGAACATGAAATAGCACTGCTTACCCCAGTAGCCATTTCAAAACAATCTAAACACTTCCAGTAAAAGGCTCTCTTGTAATCAGTATCAGAACAAAATCATGTTAACCGATGTTCTTGTACACTTTCAGATTGCATCCTGATGTCTGAAAGAGTAAGTGGGGTGTTTGTTTGTGTGAGACCTTAACCTAGATTGTCGTCCTCCTTGAGTTTCTGCATGTTTCACCATAGTTCAACTAGTTTAAATTATAATTGCTTTTTGCATATGAAAGCTTTGACTGACTGTCCGTTCACACTTAAGGAACTGGAGTTTAATATTTTCCACCAATAGAATGTGGAATTTACCATAGTGCACGTTTCAGATAGCTGTTATGTAATTTATATTTATATATTTTGTTTCTTTTGGATGTTTAAAAGTTTTATGCTTTGTTTATACTGTAATATTTCTTCTTTCTTAAATAGAAACCACCATTTATGAGTAACTGCCAGTAGTATGGATGAGATTTGTATGGGTGTTGCAAAGTATTTTGAGAAAATATCCAAATAAATTGTAGTCAGTTGTTGGAAAGTGTTTCTTGTTGCTTCTTAACCAGGTTACAAGAGAACTTGGGCAAATTGGATGTGTTTGACGTGATGATACAAATTCTCTGGCTGGTTTAAAACTCTAAACTTGGTCTGTTCTGCCAATACTAACTTATCCAGCATAACTTCATACTGCAGTAGTTGTTTTTTTTAAAAAAATTTATAAAGTATGCATGCAATTCATTGGGGTATAAAGTATCTTCTATAATTATGTTAATTTTTTAAAAATGCTAGGCAATTGGGGAATTCATTTTGGTCAACAGAGATGTGAAAATAAAGAAAAAAGGAAATATCTATAGCCTCAACGAGGGATATGCTGCGTATTTTGATCCTGCTGTCACAGAATATCTTAAGCAGAAGAAATTTCCACAGGTAATGTTCACATCCGGAATATAAATGGGGAATCACACAATCCGTGTTTCTTTGAATCCCCATACATCTGCTTTATATAATTCCACAATGGTTTGGATTTAGATGCCCTGTTCATTGTAGTGGATTAAATCCAAACCTGTGAATTAAATCCAAAGGGGCATTGTCCAAACATCCTCCATTAAAGGAAATGTCTATGGATCAAAATAGTTATTTTAGTGAGTCTGAACTGTGTATGCAGTACAAGAAGCAAGTCTGAACTCTGGGATAATAAGACCAGATAAGGTGCCCACAAAGCCCACCTGTGATAGGACACATTCCTCTGTTTCACTAGGTATTGAAAGACTAGGAATCTATGATAGGCAGCAGAGGATATATGCAATATAAGAGTGATTATTGTACAGGATGTTTTGCATGCTTTTCTTGCTGTGCAAGAACTTTGTAATTTGGGGAGAGTCTTCTCAACATGCCTAATTAGGCATCTGACTGCATTCTTTCAGAGTAGTACACAATCTCTATGCATGAAGTGCTTGACCCTTTTCCAGTGCCTTAACTTTACACATGGATCTTTAGTGTGACCATAAGGTTTTTCTGGCTGGCTTCCCTACAGAGAACGTGCTGGGAGTCTGAGGGTGTGGACATCTTTCCTCCTTAGAACAGCTTTTGTTCTCCTTGTCGCAGCACCCAATGAGGAAGAGGCAAATGTCCATTATTTACTGGACTTCATGAGGGTACTTGCTACTCACTCACTGTCACTAATTGAGAGCAGAGGTGGGCAAAGGTGCAAGCTCATTGGGCTCCCAGTATGGTTACCAATCCCTATTGCTCCCATCCTTTTCATTTGAAAAATATATACAGGATTTTGCCATGTCTTCGGGCCCCATCAATGTATTCTCAGTTCGAAGAGCTTCTTTGCCAAAGCATCTTTTTGAGGGATAACCCTCTCAAGGGTGCTGTTAGATGTTGCCACATAGACCTCTGGAAGGTGCCCATTTCTGGCTTAGAAGCTCTAAAACAGCCATTCTCAATGCTTTTTTGGCCACAGCCATAAACACAATATGAAAGAAGTATAGGCCAAATCAGGATTGTACAAGTTGCATAGGAAACTTATAAAGTGGTGGATGAAGAATTGTTTCCAGTTTGTGGCCCCCTTCAAATTTTCCAGAGCCCCTCAGGTGGCCATATCTCCCCACCCTCATTGAGAATGGCTGCTCTAAAACATACTTCCTCAACTTGATGTCCCCCACCAGTTTTAGATTACAACTCTCAACAGTCTTGACCATTATAGTGAAATGGATCTGGTGGGCTTTGAAGTTCAGAACATCTGGGAGGCAATGCATTGAAGAAGGCTGATCTGTCTGTCTTTAGGGAAACATTCATTTTAATACACTGTTTCCCCCCAAATTGCTATTCTAGGATGGTAGCTCTCCTTATGGCAGCAGATACATAGGCTCCATGGTGGCAGATGTGCACCGTACTCTGGTGTATGGGGGAATCTTTCTGTATCCAGCCAATTCAAAAAGTCCAAAAGGAAAGGTAATGTAACATATACTTACTGTGGTTCCTGATGCCACTATTATAGTATCTCAGCTTACATTTCTTAGCCTTGGCACACTGAACAAATACACTCCAGAGAGTTGCTGTGTTTGCTGCAAAGCAAGGGGAGAACTCTCATACATTTATCCTGCTCCTGATTCAGAAGAAATGCAGGCTGTCGTTGATGGATCTTCTGGTAAAAGGCAAAGCAACACGTGCAGCCCCCCTCCCTGGCAGTTCCTTTAGGCTACAGTGTTCTCTATGGCCACCCACTGGATTTCCTTCTTCTTGCTGATACATTAATCTTGGCATTCACACTTTTGAGAAGCTCAGCTCTGAACCTATGCTATCAGTTGTCTGATTCCAGAATGCTGGTGAAGGATCCATGTTTCAAAATAAATAGCATTTTTAAATGTTTTTCTTTTTAAAAAATGCTTTTAAAAACCTGTGTAGTTCAAATGCTGGCTCAACAGGGAATGAGAGCTGGGAGGGGACCTTTTGCTTTTTTTGTGATATTTTTAAATATAATGGGAAGTTTGGGTCATGGGAAAGCAATGAAAAAATGCCAAGCCTCACCTGAACTCCAGGTTGGTGCAATCCACCACTCAGGATCCTACCAGTCTGTATACCGCAAGCCTGGGGATTACTGCAAAAAGATGTATTCACACATGGAGGCACTCCAAGAATAATTGAATCATAACTGGTTAAGAGCTAGATTTAACAACTGCTCTATTGTAAGAAGATGAACTATTTTGTTTTATAAAGAATTGCATTCACAGTTTACTTCCTCTCAAATGGTAGTTAAGTGTAATCTCCAGTTTCAGCGCCACAGAGATTGCCAAGTATTTCAATGGCATAAAATTGCACCAGCTCATGGCTGGACAGGAGAAGGGCCTGTAGTTACTCTGGAATAATTGTTTTAAAAGTTTTAATCTGAAGGTTGAAATTCTTTCAATGCTTGCTTCAGTATATAGATAAGAAGCAGTTACTCATTTACACAGAATGATGCAATATTGCAAATAGAACCTTTTCTCTCTAGTTCAGAAGGGAACGGGATTTTCTATGTACACAATTGATAATGCTTGTCCTCTTGCACGTTTTTACTGATCATTCTTGCATTCAGTGATGCTTACCTGGTTTTCCTCAATGGAATTCAAGGTGGTGTACATGGTTTCCCCCTTCCATGTTATCTTCACAATCCCCACCTAAGATAGGTCAAGCTGAGGGATAATGGCAGATCAAAGGTCATGGCGGAGTAAGGTTTTGAAGTGGGAATGTTCCAGTTCTAAGCTACCACACTAACCCTACATGACACCACACTAGGTCTTTTCAAGAATGCATAAAATGTGTCTGATAAGAAAAAAAATCTGAGGAAGGGAATAAGTAAAATATAAAATCTCCATTTCTACACTAAGACGGAAATCCAAAATATAGATACTGCTTAATGTAGTTCTTTGGATGCAGTGAAACATATGCTTGAGTAAACATACTGCACTGTGAAAAACCAACGTACTGTACCACCACCATGTGCTCTACTTATAAATAAGCTTGCTTGCTTATGTAGTGGATTGACCTCTTCTTCTTTTTGAAACATGTGCTTCCAGCTGAGGCTACTGTATGAATGCAACCCAATGGCCTTCATCATGGAGAAGGCTGGAGGGATGGCGACAACAGGCAAAGAGGCCATCTTGGACATTGTGCCTGAAAGCATTCACCAGCGTGTGCCTATTGTCTTGGGCTCTCCAGACGATGTCCAGGAATACATAAACCTGTTTAAGAAGCATTCAGCTAAATGAAGAGGAGGAAGCAGCGGCTATGTCTCCCATTGGAATGCCTTACCGCTGGACCAAAGACCACACAGTGCAATAGTACAGACTGGGAAGCCATTGGTCGAGTGTAAAAGATCCTTAAAGTCACTGTGCACAAAAAAAGTTTGAACTATGCAGACTGTCTAATAAAAGCAATTATCAATTTTATGGGCTAGATCAGTTATTTGTCACTAGAGACATTCTGAAAGGTCTGTCACTAACAAGTGTTGTCTTTGGACCACTTTGTTGGGGGTATGTGATAATTAGCCCAGAATGGCAGGAGAACCCTGTCTTGAGGTTTGTTGATTGAATTTGATCTCTTGGGCACCGCATCCTTTGGGAACCTTGATCTGCTCTAAGGGCTGGTGTATGGTGGGAACAGGTGTTTGTACTGCTCCATGTACAGTAGCATCCTAAACACAATATTCAGGGGGTTGATGAAATGTCTAAAGCACTAAACACAAGGAGAGGGGGTGCATAAGTCCTTCCTACCTATTTGCCAGCATTAGAGATTTATGTTCATTGAATGCAAAGATCTGACTAGGACTATCTTAAGTGTGTTCTGTGTGTGTTGATAATGCTTATTTGAGCTCCTCTGATTGGGAAACTTTGCTAAGGCAGAGTTCTCAGTTATAGCAACTCTGTGAACACACTTGCATTCAACATACCAAAGTCTTAAGTGCTGTCCGAGGGGGTGGGGGTGGGGGTCATTCAGAGCTGAATAGGCTGCTGGACTAGAGCTGTTCTGCTTGCTACTATTCCCCCCCACCCGTCTTGCTATTAAGAACTCTGATATTTAGGGACAATGGCAATGGTCCTTTTGGGTCATGGAGGGGCTGCCTTATTTCTCTTTATTCCTCCTCCCCATTTTATACCTTTCTGATGCCACACAGGGTTTCAGCAGAGCATCAGCAGTTGCAGTAGTAAATGGAATGACATTTAAACAATAGCTCAGCAGATGTAATATTTAACAGTTTATTTGGAAGGTGTGCACATGGTACTTTCAAGACAGCAATTCCTGCAGGCTAGGACACGTGTAGGCAGCATAACATTGTCTATAGGGTTGGACTACAACTTTTACAATCCCTGATTGTTCAAATATGCTGCTTGGGATGTATTGAAGTTGTCGTTCCACCCCTGGAAGGCATACCTGGGGGAAAGCCAGCAAAGTACTGTAATAACAGAACCTGCACGTTTTTTCATTCCTAAAAGACATCTGAAAAGCACAATTTATCTCTAATTTTCTCTTGCTTTTCATAGCCTCCATTGAGGAGACAGAGAGAAAGCCTTTGAGAAAGAGATAGGAGGGATTTTTATAAGCTCATCTTCAGTGTTTCAAAACAAGCTCTCTCCATAGTTCTCATGTAACACAGCATTTTCCACACCAGTTACTGTTCTACCAAGCAACTAAAGTACTTTGGCATTTGGTGAAAGGTCACTGGCTCTGGTTTCAGCTGGTGTCAGTGGCTCAGACTGAGGTGAAAGAAAGTATCATCTTCCCAGAACTACTTTCATCCACTCAGTAATGGAAATAATTCAGTAATCACTTCTATTCCATGCCCATATCAGCCAAATGGGAGCACCCAGAGAGCAATGTTTTCGTGCAATGTAATAGTGCCATGCCCATCATTTAGAGCACAAGAGAAGGGACCTCCACATTCATGTTCTTCTGGGCAAACCCAATGTAGATGTCTATCAGCCCTACCCAGCATGGCCAATGCTATGGGAGTGGGGATCAGGAGTCCAAAACCTGTGGATTGTCAAAGCTTCCTTGACCCTGCTTCAGCCTAGCCTCCCTCACAGGATTGGCAATAAGGAGCTAAAGGGCCATTCTGACCACAGTGGCCAAGAAAAAAAAAAGTTGGCTTCTGTGGGAGAGGAATGTTTTGGTACATGTCATAGAGAAGGCTTGTGTTCTTGTGACATAGCCCCTTTTACAGAAAGGTGTGGGAAACTACAGGAGCAAAGAGCCTCAGGAGTAGTAGATCTTGCCCTGCAAAGTACACAGTACCCTGTTTCCCACTCTCCTCCAGAGCTTTCCCATTCATTCCTGTGGAGGGAGCAATGCCGTGATCACATGGGTTTCTGTACATAGAGATGCTAATGTGAAAATTTGTTAGCAGTGAGGGCCATTTGCTATAATCACCTCTGCCTTGGCTAAGAAAAAGATCCTCGGAATGACCCATTGTGAATAATGTTTTGGCTGGACCTCGATGATCCCAGACTACCCCAGGTGAGGCACTGGAAACTTGCAGTTGCTACCTCTTTCTGGTATTAGCAAGCCCAGTCGCTACCTTCTCTCACAGCCAAAACAGGGAAGAACAGTAAACCAGTCCTTGGTAGTGGACTAAGGAGCCAAAACTGGATTTAAGACCAAATCCCTCTCTGTTACACCCAAACAAAAGATGCAGAATGTGGAGAAGATTTTCCTTTGTTAAAATGGTAAGGAAAGAAAACTATCAAAATATGATAGTGCTTTGGAATAAATAAGTTAGTTATAAATTAAACATAGAATGACAAGAAAAGTAACAAAGCTGACTAACTTACTCTATATAGAAAGACTCCTGAGCTTACACAGAGTGAAAACCTCACCAAGGTTTGCACTGTGTAAATGCAGGAGTCTTTCTAGGAGTCCTAAACTAGCACCCAAGTCACAAAACCTATTTTAGTCTTTGAATGGTCCACTTTTTTTATTTTAAGCCTTAGCAAAAGTGATGACACACAACAACCAATCCCAATCCAGTTTCCCCAGAAACTTCTAGAACAATAGTTCTCATCCTTGGCTTTCAGGACGTTCTTAGACTGCAGCTTCCAGAAGTTCTTGCCAGCGCAGCTAGTGGTGAGGACTTCTGGGAGTTGCAGTCCAGAAACATCAGAGGATTTGGGGATGAGAACCACTGTTGGAGATTATGCGCAATCCCATGCCACTCTCCAAGAAGAAAAGCAGCTGATGCAAAGGCTGGTCAAACTTACCTTGAACAAGTTTATCTTCCAGATAACCCAGAGATACTTCTCAAAGGAACTGCTACTTTTTCCATCTGGCAGGGGTCACTCCCTACCATCATCTAGACTCAATCAAAATGGAAATGGTTTGGATTTTAGATTTCTTCAGGCCCATAATAATGGTTTAGATTTAATATATTTTCTTCTCCACAAACTCTCCTGTTCCCTTGTGGTGTAGTGGTGACTCAAAGCTACATTCTAAGATTACGGCACCAAACCTCTCTTGGGACAGACAGTATAAGGAAATGTGGCCTTGATAATAAACAAGCTTCCTCTAATCATGCAAAGGATAAAACGGTTCAGTCAGGAATAGACGTCGCCTATTCATGTTCATAGAGGGTTAAACCACAGAAGCCTCTGTGCTGCAATCTATGGAAGACCTGCAGCCGTAAGATCTAATCCACGTGACTGAGTGAGCTCCCATCGCTTGCCCCAACTCCTGCCAGCCTAGCAGTTTGAAAGTATGTAAATACGAGTAGATAAATAGGTACCACCACAGTGGGAAGGTAACAACGTTCTGTGTCTAGTCGTGCTGGCCATGTGACCATGGAAACTGTCTACGGACAAACACTGGCTCTATGGCCTGGAAACGGGGATGAGCAACGCCCCCTAGAGTCAGACACGACTGGACTAATTGTCAAAGGGAATCTTTACCTTTAACTATTCATGTTCATATCCTTCTCAAGTCAAGACCCCACTGTATTCATGTTCATATCCCTGGGAATACAAATATCTAGAGGGCATGGGGGTGTTTAGTGAAACAAAGCCTTAAAAAAAACAATATTGGGAGGGGGCTGCACAGGAAAGTACATGAGCCTCCAAGTTCCAGACACGTGCGTGTGCAACTCTAGCACTCCTGGAAATTGCCTGTCATGATGTAGGGCATGAGTAATTCAAGCCAGGTTTAATTTCTTCACATAAAGCCACATCTGATAAACCAGACAAACTAGGTGGCTACCAAAGTAATTGCCAACAATTTTATCTGCATTTGCCAATTTGGTTGTCTTTGAATCCATCCTTCTTCACCAAACTGCCTTACATGACATACATTTTCCACACTGAAATTTTCCCAACAGGAAAATTCCTACCAACAGGAGGAAAATTAATAACGTTTGCAAAATAAACAAACTAGGGACGCAACTGTTTCAGTGTCACAGTAAACAGGCCACGCTTACTAGGCAGTTGTTGGTTTTAGTGCAGAAGGAGAAGGAGAGGGTCGTTTGCTGAGTGGTGTTTAAGTTGTTCCCTTGAAGCCTTAAAGATACGGGCAAGTTGTGCTGCAGATCTATTCCAGGCATTTAAGTCACATGGGTTTGGGAACCTTTTAGTAAACCGTGTCTAGCATGCAAGCCAAGAGCTTCTTCCCAAAATAAAACTGCTCCTGAAGAGAGCAACACTGAGGGGAGAAAGAAACTCCTAAATTCTAGCTAAGAAAATCAACCCTGTTTGCCAGCCAAGATGTCGGACAGAAGCCCCTTCGAAACAGACATGCTGACCCTTAACCGGTTTGTCATGGAGAGAGGACGCCGGGTGAAAGGGGCAACAGGAGAACTGACCCAGCTCCTGAACTCTATGCTCACTGCTATCAAGGCCATCTCGACAGCAGTCCGAAAAGCAGGCCTTGCTCATATGTGAGTTTGCGGGGGGACGGGGGGACGGACGGGGGGAGCAGAAACTCAGGGTGGTCCCATTTGGGATGGTGCAGAGGGAGTCGTATTGACACATTGCATGCAGTGCTCCACTAAATGATGGAGCCAGAATTGGGAATTCTGTGTGGTTGGAATGAAAAAGAGCTAGTTTTGCAATCAAAACGTATGCCTCTCAAATGTATGTCTCGAACGGCCACTGATGCTACTCCAACTGAATGTCATTACTGAAAAAAGAATTTTATTTGAATAAGAGTGTGAGCGAGACTATTATAACTGTCGGTCTATTGTTTATGAATGAATATATTGCATAGGAACAATGAAACTGCAGGCTGAGCTAGACACTGCAGAGGGCTTGCTGTGAACAGCTGCAGTTCCTTAAGTGTTGAAAACCATCTGGTTGTATTCCCACAAGCTTTTCAGATCTCCCATACTCTCCACATCAGCTTACATTGTTTTGTGATTGGTCACCTAGAGCAAACTCTGGTATAATTGGCTTCTGGATTGTTCAGCCTCAACACTGGTGGAAGTGTGGCATGCTTTCTTTGCCTGCAATAATTAACAGCTTTTTCTCTCCCAACTAAGTACCACTATACAAATTGTGAAAATCTCAAGGGACCTATTTACTAAAAGTGCAGTTCTGTAACAATTTAGAGAGCCAGTGTTGTGTGTAGGAGATAAGAGTGATGAACTAGGACTCGAGAAATGTAGGTCTGAATCCCCACTTGGCCATGGAAAGTCACCAGGGGATAGGAAAGGTAAAACAATTCCTAAAATATCTAATGTACTTTGAAAACCCTATTAGGGTTGCTATAAGTCAGATGTGATTTGACAGTACGTAACAACATCCAAGTTTACTCAGAAATAAATCTCATTGTGTGTTATGGTGCTTACCTCCAAGGAAGTGTGCATTGGATCATACTTGAAGGCTACAGCCCTAAGCACTGAAATCCCATTAAACTCAGTGGACTTCTGAGAAAAGATGTTTCCTATTGCACTACTGGAAACTGTTCATATAAGAGGTGTTTTGTCATTTCATTCCCTTTACTTCTGATTATGGAAGAGAGGCCTAGTTATAAGGATGGTTGTGTTAATTGCGATGTGGCATACTGCTAATTATCATGCTAAGTATTCCAGTTATTGATTATGGGTGACTCTCATGTTAGGTACAGGGAAGCAGAACTTCGCTGCATAGTGATTTAATTGCCTGCATTTCATTGTGTGACATTGGGAGTAAAATGCAGATGTTACAATGAATGCATGGAGGAGGCAAAGCAGGAAAGCAGAAGCAGGCCCAGCATGGAGGCTTTCAAGTGAATGCCTCATTAAGCAATGACCAGAACTACAGGGGTCCAGGCCAGGCTTTGTGTGCAGAGGGACTGTAATTTTATACCTTTGACATATCTGTCTCATGAGGAATCTGCAAATGCCAACTTGCCTTGCTGGCAGTCTGGCTTCAAGAGCAATGGATATCACCTCTGACTGACTTAATTTTTGGACTATTTGGCCTTAACCCAAATTTACTACCATCTTTGCCTGATGAAGACTTCTGGAGAACTCAGAAGCTTGCCTTGTTTGTAGCTTGTAAAGGCCAACTACATAATAACCTTAGAACCTTTAGAACTGCAGACCTGAAAAGGACCCTATCAATCATCGAGGCCAGCCCCTCTCCAGGAGGCACAGTGGGGAATATGTGGACATGTGTTGGCCAACCCAGAGCTTTTTTTCTATATGTGGGTCACGTAGCTACTTTTGCATATTTAGGACTTTTGTCTCATAACCATGAGCCCTAGAATTTCATGGTTCACAAATATTCAGAGAGGGTTTTTTTAAATGGTGTGTATATAGGGGTTTGATTCAGCTATTCAAGTGATAGACTGGAAATCATACAAATCCTGTTCTTTGGAGCTTGAAAATGGACTTTTGGGAAGTGGTACATTTTGTAATACTTTAACCTGCCACTGCTGTCCTACCAGGGAGTAACTCGTTCCCATCAGTTACACAATTTTTATAGTAAATTGTTACATTACTTCTTTAATCATTGTTCCTTTTCTCAATTATTGTTTAGTTCTTTTTTTAAAAATAGGTAAGTAAGAAAATAAGCTTATTCTTTTTTTTAAAGTCTTCCAAATGTGCCCAAGCAGCCCCTTCCCCCCACAAAAAAAAACCAGACAGGAAAAATAAAGCAGAAACTTTAACTAGAAAACTCCTTAAATGTTGACTTCAAGCTTCACTAATGCTGGATCCAATCCCTTGTCTATGAAAGGTTATGACTAGTAGCCTATTCCTAAATACACGGCAATCATGGCAGTCACACAGAGATTCTCCCTGCATTGGCTCACTTCCTGTTATGCAACCAGTTGTGTGACTGATCTTGCAACCAGTATAAGAAAAAAAGCACATGCTGGGAACGGGCCAGAGTTGGGGAGGGCTGCTTATGTGAATGCCCTTCCACTCCACTTTATGCAATAGGATACTGGCCTATGAACGCTCTGGCATGTAAGAATTATTCCCAGGGCAGCTTACAACACAGTAAAATAATGACAGGCAATGATATTGATAAATAATATTGACTAAAGGCATATTAAAAACAGGAGAGTACGATGCACCAGTAATTATACCCTGGCATTCAATGAGAGGTCATACTGTATATTGCACTAGAGGGAAATTAATACACATTGGCCAGAATCTTATTGATATTTGTGTAAGGTTTGTGTGACTTGCCATGGCTAGTTGTGGCTGAGGAGGTTTCCAGAGTGTGTCTTGGTTACTTGCTTGATAGCATTATTGAGATGCAACCTGGAATTTCATCAATTAATTGTGGCAAGTTACTCAAATCTTGTGTGATCACTAATTGGATTCTATCCATTGAATACAAATCTATAATGCTAATTAACAAGGATACTGTATTGTTGTTTCTTTTCCTTTTTTAATTTCCTGAATAAAGTTTACTTCTTTTTCTCCTGTAGTTTCATGGTATTTCTACTCATTAAAACTGTATTCTCTTAATAATTGCAAGAATCTATATTAAATACAGAAGACGGCGACTTAGCAGGTTTCTTGACCATTAAATTATTGTTGTTCATTATATTTTAGTGGACATTGGTGCTTGTGTGTGCTTGTGTGTATTTACATAATATCCCTAAAAGTTTGGCAACAGGGCCAACTCAAAAGCTGAATAAATTACTGGATGTCTGACTAAGGTTATGGTTATAGTGGATCCAATACATTTAGTCAGTGGTGGAGAGCAGCTTGCATGATGACTGTAATTCTCACTTGACGGCATTGTGGGACTGTGAGAAACAGGGAGTTCAAGTGTATTGTAAGTGTTAGAAGAATGTAGAACATGGTAGAGACAGAGGCCAAGTTACATCCAAGTTCCACAAGCACATTCCAGCAACAGTGACTGTTGGCATGTATAAGCTGCAAAAGGTTACAATAACAATAACAATAAGGAATTGTTATGAACATTTATCTATTTCAGAGGAAACTATACTGGTTAATTTGAGCCCTAAAAAATCAAGAAAAAAAACAGAAAGGAAACTCAGTGTACAATTTTACAACATAAATTTTACAACTCAGTGTACAATTTTACAACAATTTTACAACATACATTACTATATATTAATACGTTTCCCCCTTCTTAGGTATGGAATAGCAGGCACTGTGAATGTGACTGGGGATGAACAGAAGAAGCTAGATGTGTTATCAAATTCTCTGGTTATCAACATGTTACAATCCTCCTACAGCACATGTGTCCTTGTCTCAGAAGAGAATAAAGATGCTATTATCACCCCAAAGGAGAGAAGGGTGTGTATGCATGCAGATTGGTTTGGAAGAGAGCAGGGTGTGTGGCTCTTTTAGCAGCAGATGGCGCAATTGCATTGCTTATGAAAAAGACGTTACCTGACGCAAAGCTAAGCATTAATGAATTAATGAGGACAAAATCGTAGTAGCCAGATGTGGATTAATAAACTAAAGAGAGAAGAACATTACATTGTGTCCATTGGTGGCTTCCCATTGCAATCTTTTCTGACACCTAAAATGCTCGAAATATAAAAGACTTCCTTTTGGGATTAGAGGCCCTAAAATTCCCTTTTCTGATGACAAGGGATTCTGGAACTGGTAGTCGGGAAAAAAAAACTCTTCAAGCTTTGGAAAAACTGCTTTTGTGATTTAGGGCAGGGATGGGCAAAATGAAATCGACCATCGTTACCCAAGACTCTTCCAGATCCCCCATCCCTGCACATTCTCAGTAGAATTGATGTTGCTCAAAATGGTCCCTGGTACCATTTATGGTGGGCAATTTTGCCAGGTTTTGGCTCCCCAGCGCTCTTGCAAGCCCCACATCCATAATTTTTAAAATGAAAAATGACTGCTGAGAAGGATAGGAAGGGACTTGCAATTAACATCTGAATAAATTGTGTGGGGGGGGGGAGTGGCTGAAATCCTGGAGTACAGTGATGTAAAAGGCAGACTTTTTAGTGATGAATTACCATAGGTTAAAAATAAATTCATAGGCATTATCTATCACATTCCAAGTTGTGGGACTTGTTATGCATCAGATAATGTCTACAGAGATTTCTTAACTTACAGCAATTCACAGCTAAAAATTACACCTTTTTGTGTAATTATACAAGAGGATTTCAGCCACAAAGATCCACTTCTTGTTGCCTAAAGTAGTCAGAACATATCTTTTCAGAGCCTTTGATGTCCTAACCACTACCTTTTCTAAACTTTATGTATATGTATTTTTCTGCTCTAATTTTTTAATATTACCACTCCCTTTGCAGGACATAATAACTAGTGTGCTATAAGCCATGATAATGATATGTACTTCAAGCAATCAGTTTGGACAGATTTTGTTTCTGCTGTACAGCTCTGAGAATTTACAAATAGTTTCTTCCATACAATGAACATGGATTGATCCTGGTAACATATTATTTAAGACCGATGTTTTTTTCTCCTCTTCCAGGGTAAATATGTGGTATGCTTTGATCCTCTAGATGGTTCTTCCAATATAGACTGCTTAGCTTCCATAGGAACCATATTTGCTATCTACAAGAAGGTAAGCTGATAGAGTGAAGAAAAGAAACAGTTGCTATGTGACTTGGACATTCGACTTTTACATAAAATACATACAGCGGTGCCTCACAAGATGATTTTAATTCGTTCTATGAAAATCGTCATCTTGTGAAAAAAATCATCTCGCGAGGTTCCCTATGCATCGGTCTCAAAAAAAAAGTCTTGCGAAGCATCGGTCTAAAAAAACACGTCTTGCGAAGCACGGTCATAGGAAAAAAAAAGGCTTGCGAGGCACCATAGTGATCACAAAAACCAATCGTTTTGCAGGGTTTTCATCCTGTGAGGCAATCGTCTAGCGAGGCATCACTGTATGTTTATTCCAAAAGGCCAGATCATACAGCTTGGCTCCAAATCATCTAGTTCTGTAAGTTCTATCTTAAATGTCAGGAACTCTGTAGGAAAACCTTTCCCCCATCACCTTGCACCTGATCCTGAGCTGAGAGCCTAGGATGTTCAGCATCCGAAGAATGCGTTACCACTTAAGCTACAGACCCTCAACTGGCCAACTACTGTGGCCCAAATCCAGCTGAAGTTCTGGCTGAATGAGATATGAGATCACTAGCATTTTCCACATTCATTTACTTTGTAAATGCAGCTACAAAAGGAGCTTGAGGTGCAAGGATGTGAAACTGCCAGAGGTTCAGGGATCATCTCTGACTCTGGCACCCTGTGTCTGTTCCTTTTGGAAACTTCTCTGGGCTCTTGTTGCAGCCTTATTGAAAAGGACACCACCAAGGCCCAGTGACTTTTAGTCCTGGCCATTAGATGATAAGGAATGTAGAGCCAATGAAGTATGGGTGGACAGAGTGACTATGACTCAGGAGACCTGGGTTTTAATCCCCATTTGGCCATGGGAACTCACTGTAGGAAGTTTGCACTGGTAAAACGACATCTTAAATATCCCACATGCTACAAAAACTTCTACTAGGGTCATTGTAAGCTAGAATTGTCTTGACAGCACTAAATACACATATTAAACAACTCTTTGTGCTGCTATGGGCACTAAATCAGTGGTTCCTAACCTTGGATGCCCAAATGTTCCTGTACTAAAACTTCCACAAGCCTTCACCACTAGCTATGCAGGCCAGGATTTCTGAAATTTGTAATCCAAGAACATCTGGGGACCATAGATTGGGTGCCACCGCACTAAATGGAGGCCAGGCCAAATCATGCCACATGGAATTAATGTGTAAAACGTTCCATAACTCAGAGGAATCTTATTTGTTTTTATGGTATCTTTCTCTTCTCTTTCTTTATCTCTTAGACATCAGAAGATGAGCCTTCTGAAAAGGATGCCTTACAGCCTGGACGCAACATAGTTGCAGCCGGTTATGCTTTGTATGGTAGCGCTACACTGGTGGCACTTTCCACAGGGCAAGGCGTGGACCTCTTCATGCTAGATCCGGTATTTCACATGGACATTAATATTAATAAGAATAGTCCTATTGCTCTCTGATATTCCTTTTGCCCAGCATCTATCCCTTTCAACAGGCGGGAGGAAGTACAGATTACAAAGGCGCTCCTGTGCATTCTGACTGCCCTCCCTCTGAATGGACTTTGTGATATTCGCACATGATGATATCATAATGGTGGAGGTGCAATACTTCTTTAACTAGTGCTGTATAGCCAATAAAAAAGAAGTCGTCTGGGGAAATTAGTGCTGAAGTAGAAGCTGATGGGTACCTAAAAGAAGCTACAAAGATTTAGGGGAACAAATGAAGCCTGCGAACATTTACAGTAAAGCTTTCTTTCCACAACAGGAAGTATCAGCTAACCAAAATAATAATAATAAAATTAAAAATTGGCACATTGTGACTAAATCATACTCCTACTTCCTCACGATTCAGTTACGAGTTATAGAAATATAATTTCCCACTCTGTACAGATTCTGCTTGGGCTCTTTGTTACCCGGTGCCTCCTGCTTATTTGGAACGTGCCTGTGGGAACATAATTTCCCTGACAAAGGGCATGCCAGGGTAACAACATTCTGCGGTTTTAGCTTGGGGCTTTAGCACAAAGCCACACCAGAACTGCAAAAAGAATCATCTGCCTATAATAAGCACCTCTCTTTAAATGCCAGGCCTAGGAGTCACACTGTGCAGATTGCATTGCTTCCAATTGCAGCGCACATTGTAATGCAAGCGGAAGCCGCTGGGCCGTTTGCCAAGTGAGGATGATAAATGCATATTCAATTTCTTTCAAAATTTGAATAAGGATCTACTTTACTGAAGATATCTCTTGCAAAACAACTTGTATGGGCATCCTATAGTAGCTTTGTTCATCATAACCTGTAAACAATTATCACCTGTTTCCTGCCCCCCTCCCCCATAAATATGTTACTATCCATGATCATCTGAGACATCACAAAGGGCCTTGTATATAGCACCTTTGTTCACCATAAATTTAACGGATGAATCTTTGAAAGGGAATATAAGCAAATGGGCCTACTATATAAAAGTAGAAAGGGAAGGTGCTATGGGCTAGAGTGAGGAATGCATGGCCCTTTCAGTGTTGTGGGACTTCAGCTCCCCTCACCCCTCATCCCCAGATGGCTAAGGCTGATGGGAGTTTTAGTTCAACAGAATTTTGAGACCCTGACACCAGCTTTTGCCCAGCATTTATTGCATGCTGTCCACACACCTCCTCCAACATTTGTAATTTGGTGGGGCTGCTACCTTTTCCTAAGCAATGAATAGCTGAAAGGTCAACTTGTGCTAGTATGATGATTGACTAATTTTCCAGAAAAATCATCTGGTAAGAGCTACTCAGAGATGTTACCCAGATTGTTGGAAGTCTCTTTTTGGGTTTGTGAGTATAATCTGAACTAGAATTTGGAAACACCATGTTCTCCAGAGACTTGGAGCTTACAGTATTTTGTAGTCTGAATATTGAAAGAGAACAGAGGGGCAATATTTGTAGCTACAGATTGGGCAGAAGTGAAGTTCCTTGGAGGAAAGGGTCAATGCAGTGTTGTCTGAAAATTTTCTGAAAATTGTGGCAGTATTGGGGAATTTACTGCCTGCTGTAGGAGGGTGTGTTTGCTTTCACTATGTTTTGTATAATGGGAACGAAAAGAAATGTTACAAAGACAATCTTGGTATCAGGGATAACGAATAACCTGCACATTTATTTGGAATTAAGCTTGCAATGTTTTTTTTTGGCTTGCAATCAAATATTGCAAGATTTCAGTCAAATGTACATTGTACATTTTATGGTTTGGAGGGGGATCTTTTTTATAGGACCACTAAGAAATTAAACAAATAGCAAGATTTTGTAGAGTTAAATCTGCTTCCTCAGGCTAAGCACATCTATTTATGAATGTGAACAAGTGTCAAAGAAATCACCTTACAACCTGTACTAACTTTGACATGTACTCTCTGTTCTTCAGGCTCTTGGTGAATTCATTTTGGTAGATAAAGATGTAAAGATGAAGAAGAAGGGGAAAATCTACAGCATTAATGAGGGTTATGCCAAGTACTTTGATCCTGCTCTGACAGAGTATTTACAGAAGAAGAAATTTCCTGAGGTAACATGCAATGGCATATTGCTGCCGCTTGATCGCCGGTTTTACTATGTGAAATTGAATCATTTTTATCACTGTTACACACAACATAGCACGGTTTGCACATACAATTAATATAGCAGGACTCCATATCTGCTGGGGATTGGTTCCAAGCCCCCCGCAGATACTGAAAACCGTGGCTAATAGCAAACACTTTACATATATACCATAATAAAAGGGGAAAAAATCAGAAAATAAATTATTTTCACATGCATTACCAGAACCAGCCACTAGAGGATGGCAGTGACCATGCTATATATTCTTCACTAACCCTCTAGTGGCCAGTTCTGTTAATACATGTGCAAATATTTTTTTTCTTTCAATATTTTTAATATTTTCAGACTGTGGACAAGTGAATCAGTGAATACTGATCCCATGGATGCATGGGCCCTACTGTATACTTTAGCCCATAATAGCAATGAAAACCTACATCAGAATTTTTGTTGCAAGGCAAACACATATAGATCGAGTTAGCTAGGTTTCTGGATGCAGAGCAAGAGGCTGTGAATTGCATTCTCCACTGTGTCTTATGGAAAAAGAGACGTAACCTATATAGCCCTCAGGAAACTGCACAGTCCCAGAGAGCCCTCCAACAACAGAGTCAGATATGATGCTGTTGCATAATGCAAGATGTGCCTTTGACTCTACAAATTACAGAAATAATTGTGTAACTAATTACAGGGATGCCTGGTACTTTTTGCTTTTGCACATTCTGCTGCAAAGCCCAGAGTTTTGACATATGAATATGTAAAGTTTCAGCATGCACTCATTTGGCAGTCAAAATACTCATATATGCTCTTAGACTTTATAGGGCATGCACAGCTCCTCTGTGCATGCAAAATAGTTGTATTGTGTTATGCTGTTGGACTGCCCAGGCATCCTAAGAATATTGTTTTTCACTCAGAAACATAGAAAACTGCCCTGTCAGATGAGTGGCCCTTTAAGGCCAGTATTATCAGTTCCAGTTGGCAGCAGTTCCCCAGGATTTCAGACTAGATTTTTTTCCTAGTTCTTCTGTCTGTAGGTCCCTTATATTCCTTTGTTGCCCTTCCAAATATTCACCTGCCCCAGTTCTGCTTAGCAGCTAAAATCAGACAAGATTGTTGTGTTTGGGACGATTCAAGTTTCCAAAGGTATCCCTCTGGAAACAGAGTGGATCACCAGTAAAAATGGGTGAAAACATGTCAGTCCATTTGATATGGGAAAACGGCAAGATCTTTGCAAGGGAAGTGTCTTGTCAGGTGTTCATATTTCATATTTCACTGATGAGGGAATAAAAGTCTATGGTTATTAATCTATACATTTCAAAGTGTTTGAAATAGGTATATAAATGAAAAAAACACAATATCTTGCAGCGAGTCAGAGGCAAAATTTAGCTTTGTACTACGACTTGCAGAATTTCCCAGCTAGCAGTTTCCTTGGTGATGCTGGCTAAAATATTCTGGCAGCTGTAGTCCAAAAGGTAAATGTTCTAAGCTCTCTTAATTTCTATTAAGAAGGAGCAACCATACAATGCAAAGGAATCAAGAAGATCTTTGGTGCAATCCTCAGTAATCTCAAAAGAAGATTACTCACTTCAGCTTCAGCTGGGAAGGAATAATAGTCATGCAGGCTACAAACGGCCTTCAAACTACTGAAAATGGCAGCACACAGTGTTGACTCAGTGGCTCTTGGTTTTTTGTGAGACAGTCACAGACAACTTGACAAAGGCTGCATCTCTTAATCCATGCTACTCCATCTCCGTTTCTCTTCAATATATCTGGTTGCTTCTGTCAGACTCCATAACCGTAAACTGCAAGGTGTTTTGGATCTGGGAAGGGACGGGGTTTGAGTACAGTCTCTATCATCTAAGGAGAAAGAGAAATGGAGAAAGGAGAGGAGGAAAAGAGAGGGAGGGAGTTTCAGAAAAAAAGTATTCCAGTTTCTATTCTGTGTTATGTGTTGTCAGGTCAGACCCAACCTACAGCAACTCGAATAGGGCTGGCAATGTAAGTAAGATAGTCAACGAGTATTTCCACCAGTTCTACCCTATTCCACATCCTGTGAATTTTCTTGGCTGAACAGGGATTTGAACTCGATCCACTATGCCAGCAATGGCAAACCTATGGCACACGTGCCACAGCTGGCACACAGAGCCATCTCTATGGGCATGCGAGCCGTAAGTCAGCATAGAGAAATACTTACCTGTCCTCCGATCCTGGATTTTGGCAGTCCCCTCTGCTGGTGCAGTGGTCCAGCGGAGGGGTTCAATGGCGACCATTACCGGTCTAGCTCAATGGAGGATTGGAGGACCAGTAAGTATTTATTTGCTAATACCGCCCATAGGGAAAAAAAAACAACTCAAGCATTTAACCTTTGCAGTGCAGGAGCAGTTTTTTTTTCTATACTAAAACCTCAGTACAGTGGTGCCCTGACTTACGAAATTAATCCTTATTGGACCGGTGGCCGTAACTTGAAATTTTCGTAAGTCAAAGCACCATTTCCCATAGGAATGCATTGAAAACTGATTAATCCGTTCTGGCTGAAGAAAAAAATACCAAAAGAAAAGAAAAGAAACAGAGCAAGTTTTGACAGCTGCCGCCAGAGGCCTCCTCAAGAAAAAAATACCAAAAGAAAAGAAAAGAAACAAAGCAAGTTTTGACAGCTGCCGCCAAAGGCCTCCCGAGCTTCCCCACCGCTGTGGGAGGCCTCCTAGGGTTCCCCGCTGCTTTCCCCGCCACTGTGGGAGGCCTCCCGGGGTTCTCTGCTGCCATGACAGCTGTCGCCGGAGGCCTCCCTGGCTTCCCTACCCCTGAGGGAGGCCTCCTAGGGTTCCCCGCTGCCGTGACAACCACCGCTGGAGGCCTACCCAGCTTCCCCGGCGGTGGCTGTCACGGCGACGGGGAACCCTGAGATGCCTCCCACAGTCGCGGAGAAGGCCTCTGGCCACGGTGGTCACGGTGGCAGGGAACCCCGGGAGGTTGAGCCTGGCTGGGATGGTCTGACGGCTCGCCTCTCAGTGGCAGGGGCAGCAGCGGTGGAAGCCCAGGAGGTTGAGCCTCCCTTTTCCTAACCATTGGGGCGAAGAAGCAGCCTCTTCGCCACCAACGGTTTGAATTTCCCACCCTTTCCCCCTGCCTTTTCCGTTCGTAAGTGGAAGCTCCAGCTGCAAATCGAAGCAAAATTTTGTGGCCAGAGCTTTTTGTAAGTCGAAATTTTCATAAGTAGGGACGTCCGTAAGTCGAGGACTCACTGTATTTAGGTTTTAATTGCGGTATGGGCACTTTGAAATAAATAAGTTGATTTTGTGTTACAGTTTATGCACTCAGGCTCAAAAAGTTTCGCCATCACTGCGCTATACCATACTAGGAACCCATTCTGTATTTTCTACTAAGCAAGATTTATTTAGAATGCATCTACACTACATAGTTATTACAGTTGATGCCACTTTTAACTGTCATGGGTCCCATCTAGAGAATCCTGGGAGTTGTAGTGTGCTGAGGTGTTTAGTGTTTTCTGCTGGAGCATTCTAGTGCTGTAGTTCAGAGGAACACACCAGAATTCTCTAGGAGGGGATTCTTAACCATCTCATCAAACTTCACACACCAGCTTTCCTTAGGCTGGGAGCCTGGCAGTAGAAATGGTATGATACCTGCTATAACTGCATAATGGAGAGGCACTATCAATATCAGGCTGGACTGTGCTCCAAAACAACTCAATATGGAAACCAGTTAAGGGCTTCAGAATCTATCCTGATTCAATCCAGAGCAATTTGTGCCCCACCCACTATGATCTGTGAGCCAAATCTGAATCAATTTGTAAAATCAATGCATTGGAAAACAGAAAAGCTACTGTATAGCTATTTTGTTTTGCACTGATGTATGTGAAATTTGGAAGCACAATAGACCCTAAAGAGGCAGACAAGCTAGCCCAATTTAACATAGTTAGCTGACTTGAAGGCTGACTATATTTGTGACCCTGGACCCAAGTTGATTTGTAAAGTTGCTTGTTTTTGTCCCAGAAATGCCTTTGGACATTTTGTTTTGATCCATACCAGGTACAAAGTGACCTGAATCAGGCTGATTTGGGAGGGAATATGCATTGTATCTGAATCTGAATCTGGTGGATACCCCTAATTGCATATTGGCATCATCTCATCCAGCTTACGAAAGAATGTACTGTGGTAAAAGTATAAGTCAAAAGCTTCTGACAGTTTGATAAGTAAATCACACAGGAAAGAATTGTCACTTCATTTTTAAAAAGATTATCAGTTTATTCAACCTAATCTTACGAAGATTTACTGTACTTACAAGAAAGTTCCAATTTGTTTAAAAGGGCTTGATGTTGTTATGTGCAATCAAGTTATTTCTGATCTATGGAAACCCTATTAATTAATGAACTCCAAAAAGTTATATCGGTAACAGCCCTGCTTAGGTCTTGAAAAAACAAGATAATGGCTTCCTTTATTGAATTAATCTATATTTGGTCTTCTTTTTTCCTACTGACTTCAACTTTTCCCAACACTATTGACTTTTCCAGTTGTCTTATCTTCTCATGATGTGATCAAAGTATGACAACATCAGTTTAGTCATTTAGGCTTCAAGAGAGATTTCAGGGTTGATTTGATCCTGTTGCTTAGTGTACTAAATCATACCAGAGCATGCCCATTGAATCAGCAGGGTTTTAGTGCATCAGCTCCTTGTAGGTTCTATTAATTCAAATGGGCTTACTCTGTTTGCAACTTACTTGAGCCACAGTAAGTCACAATTAGAATAGGCCCATTCTTCTTTTTTGCACAGTGATTGTTGTTCTTTTTCTAGCATGGTGTACTATGATCAGATTATTCAAATGCCAAATATTACTGCTCTTTAGATATAATTTGTGCTGTGGTGCACTGTGGTAATTTATGCAGAGAAATGAGTTTGGTTTTATGGAAAGCAAAAGTGCTTGTTACAGATTTTACAAAGTCAGCTGCTGAGAAGAATACAGAATCTCCTTTTTCCTTTTTTGTTTCAGGGTATAGTCATACACCCTGTGGGATGTGGCGGCGCTGCGGGTTAAACCGCAGAAGCCTCTATGCTGCAAGGTCAGAAGACCAGCAGTCGTAAGATTGAATCCATGTGACGGAGTGAGCTCCCGTCGCTTGTCCCTGCTCCTGCCAACCTAGCAGTTCAAAAGCATGTTAAAATGTGAGTAGATAAATAGGTGCCACCACGGTGGGAAGGTAAGGGCGTTCCATGTCCAGTCGTGTTGGCCGCTTGACCACAGAAACTGCCTTTGAGCAAACACTGGCTCTATGGCTTGGAGACGGGGATGAGCACCATGCCCTAGAGTCAGACACGACTGGACTAAATGTCAAGGGGAACCCTTACCTTTACCTTATAGTCATACAAGTCATAACATGATTAAAACAACAACAACAACAACCCCTAACATTTGAAATCAAACTGTTTGTCCAGCTAAGGATAAAACAATCAGAGGGAAAAATCCAAGAAAGGAACACTGCTACCGTGTTTCCCTGAAAATAAAACAGGGTCTTATATTAATTTTTGCTCAAAAAAACTCATTGGGGCTTATTGCGGAAAACAATGGCAGCAGTGAAGGGAGAGGTGTTGGTGTGGAAGGAGGCGGGGTCCCAGAGCTGGCGAGCCCTGTTGAGGAAAGGGTGGTAGCTGCTTCAACACGTGGCCGTGCCAGCAGCACCCAGCACCGAAGAGGGAGCCAAACAAGAGGAGCGTTAAAAGAGTTGCAATAGGAGAAAGAAGGGAGGGCAAAAATATTTATTTGTTTTATTTATTTGTTTTATTTATATCCCGCCTATCTGGTTGGGTCAGGACCACTCTATGCGGCTAGCAATCGTAAAATAATACAATAAAAATATATAAGCAATTCTAAATGTCAAAAGCATTACACAAGGCAGAAGAAATAGAGGAAAGAGAGGGCGTCAGGAATTATCTGATGGGAAGGCCTGCCGAAACATCCATGTCTTTAATTGATTCTTAAAGATACCCAGCGAGGAAGCCCCACGGATCTCAGGAAGCAGATTGTTCCAGAGGCGAGGAGCCACCACCGAGAAGGCCCAATTTCTTGTCTTTTCCTTCCAGGCCTCCCTTGGCGCTATTCTACTCAACACAGGATTGTTTCTTTTAAGTTATGTGGTTGGGCACTTCCTCCTTAGAATACAGGTGCAAGACGACAGACAAGGCCATATATCAACATTAAGAAGAAAATATACAGAAAAGAAATCCAGCAAGAGAAATCGGAATGTTCACCATGCTGAGAATCATTGTTGCTCTTTCAACATGGCAATAATGAATGGAGCCAACACACTTACTCAAACTGCAGACGCTATCCCACCAAATGCAGCATATAACTGTGATCTGGAGCTCTTAGAAAATATCATTCAGATTGCAATGACATATTTAAATAATACCCTTCTAGGATTTGAGGCAGAAGCAAATACACTATTACTGCAGCATCTATCTAGGGCTTTTTAAAGATATCATTTCAAGCTGTCATGCTGTATCAATTTCTTTTCTCAACTGCAAGGGTGTCTATTCCTTTCCACAGCTGCAAGAGAAATCTATGAGAAATAAACTAGTAGGAGTAGGTGGATGGCAAGAGATAAAAGGAGGAATTGTTATTTCAATGTGAGTTAACAATGGCAATTGGGCATTACAACATGGCCTTCTACACTGATACTCCAATGGTTTCCTGGTCTTGTTTTCTCCGCTTCTGCTGCCATCAGCAGGATCTGTCGTGTCATCTTGCCCTGTAATGAGCAGACTGGTTTAATGGGAGAAACTACTCTTTTCTTGGTTTCTAAGAAGATAAGGAATAGATACCATCTTTTGACAAAAATTTAGTGGACCCCATCTCAGTGTCTAATCTGACTATTCCTAATACAGTGGTGCCTCTTTTAACGGGCACTCCGTTTAGCGACGAAAACGCATAGCGATTAAGTTTTTGCGATCGCAAAAGCGATCGCATTGTGATGTTTTAATGGGTTTTTTTCGCTTTGCAATGATCAGTTCCGTTTCACTTACCGATCATCGGAAATCAATGATTTTTTAACAACTGATCGCGGTTCCAAAATGGCCACCGGATAAAAAAAGGCCGCCCGCTGTGTGTAAGGATGGATTCCTTGCTTAAGAGGCGGCGAAAATGGCTGCCGTATGGAGGATCTTCACTTTAAGGTGAGTTTTAAGCCCATAGGAACGCATTAAACAGGTTTTAATGCGTTTCTATGGGCTTTTAAAAATCGCATAGCGACAAAATCGCTTAGCAGCGATTTTTGCTGCACGGATTAACGTCGCTATGCGAGGCACCACTGTACACTTAAAATCCAAATTGTTGGAGCATCTAGGAAGTAGCTCTTTTCATGGGTTTATATTTTCGGTATGTTTCTAGAGAAATCGTTGATTCATCTACGAAGCAAATCTTTAATGGGTTCATATTTCTAGATATGCTAGAGGGAACTTTTTCTTAAGGTGAAAATATTTCTTACGGATAGTAGTATATCATTAGAAGTAGCTATTTTAAAACCATTAAAAGATAGCTGATTGTCACAGCATGATATATTTTCGGTATGTTTCTAGAGAAATCGTTGATTCATCTACGAAGCAAATCTTTAATGGGTTCATATTTCTAGATATGCTAGAGGGAACTTTTTCTTAAGGTGAAAATATTTCTTACGGATAGTAGTATATCATTAGAAGTAGCTATTTTAAAACCATTAAAAGATAGCTGATTGTCACAGCATGAGCTTTTTACATCTCCCACGATTGCAAATTAGCTTCCTTTGTTTGCTTGTTTCCCATCTTATTCTCTTGTAGGACTAAAGGCAACTTACAATATACCATATTTTTCCATGTATAAGCCCCCCCAATGTATAAGACGACCCCCAATTTCGACCCTTGCATTAGCCAAAGGCAGAGGCGGAGGCAAAGGAGCAGTCATGCTCGGCCGCCCCTTGTGGCTCCCCATTGACTGCAACCACAGCCACCCGATCACCTCCTCCAGCGCCACTCGTGGGCTCCCTTCGGGCAGGGGACAAGGTGGCGACGTGAGCTTGAGGTGAGCCCTGCGAGTGGCACTGGAGGAAGCAAAAGGGCAGCTGCAGCCACAGTCAATGGGCAGCCACGAGGGGCGGCCAAGCGCAATTGCTCCTTCGCCTCTGGCTGCTGCTTTGGCGCACTTCCATGTATAAGACAACACTCAGATTTTGCAGTAACTATTTTAGGAAAAAGTATCATCATATACATGGGAAAATATGGTAAATTTAAATAGCAGGTTCATGGAACAATCCATGAGGTTTAAAACCAGCAGTAGCAGCAACAGCGAAGCAACACCCACCATTAAACAGTCCTGGTTAATGGCCAAAGACCTGGATAAACAAAAACGTCTTTGCTTGCCAGGGGAAGAACAACGAGGAGGCCAGCCTAGCCTCCTTTGGAAGTTCCTTTGTGAGTTCCATAGCCTGGAAGCAGCCACATGGAGGGCTCCATACTGAGAGCTGGGATTGGTCATCGGAAGATAAACATGAGCTATGTTTGCAAGTCTGATTGCTCAGACATGGAGGTCTTCTGGAATCATGCCTCTGGAACACTAAAGTGATTTCAGCTTCTAATCATCTGCTATCGGGGATGTAAATTGATACCCCATATCTAGCTTGGGGATGTGAAATGTGTCAATCTGCCCAGAAAAGACTTCGGTCTAGATGGGCAGGGTATAAATTTAATAAATAAAATAAAATAAATAAATCCCCATTCTTCTTGGACTACAAGTCTCATGATTCCTTACGTTTGCTTGTTCTGTGTAGGACTGATGGAAGCTGGAACATGACAACATCTGAAGGCTCTATTTCTCCTCGCTGACCTAGTTATCTATTTTTACATTTCAAAACAAACATGGGCAAGCTGTCACATGTCTCTATCAATCTGTTTTACAGGAAGGCACTTCTCCTTATGGGGCTCGATACGTAGGCTCCATGGTGGCTGATGTTCACCGCACCTTGGTGTATGGTGGGATCTTTTTGTATCCAGCTAATCAGAAGAGTCCAAAAGGAAAGGTAAATCTTTATCTTCTTAAGTGTTTTAAAGACCATAGAGAGTATCTTATTGCCTAAACAGGGAATGGAAAAGCAATCACTTAAGCATCTTCTTTCCTGGTGGAAATGTCCCTTCCAGCACATTCCTGTTCTCAAGATTGGTCATGCTACCAGTCACATGATGGGAAGCTTACCAGAGAAGAAGGACACTTACACAGTTATCCCATCCCTGCACAATTAGACAATAATTTACTAGCTTAACAATTTCATTATGGCATAAGTTTTCATGGGCAACAATATGCTTCATCAGTTGTACTGCGTGAAGTGAACTGTACTCCATAAAAGCCTATCCCATAATAATGTGTTAATCTTTAAAGTGCTCCAGCATGCTAATATAAATGTCACATGTCACAGTTGCCATGATAAAGTGAAAAACAAACTATGTTTGAATTGTATCTGTTCTGCTGAGCCTCTGCCATTAACATTGATACGAAAGACATAACCCACTGGCACGCAGAGCTGACTTGTGAAAGAAACTTTTGCGCCAAGGACACACGGATATTTAGATGAAAGAAATGAGGGTCTTAGTAGGGAGGAAAGCTGTAGAAATTGTGCTCCCAACCCAATGGAAAGCGTCTTCCAGATCTGCTCTGTGACCATATTTCCCTTCAAAATAAAATATGGCACCTTAAGCACACATTTTAAATGTACGAATAACTTCTGCGGCAGCAGTTTAATACGTTAATTATTCTGTGTGTGAAGTAATACTTTATTTTGTTTGTCATCAAACAACTGGCATCTAATTTTGCTGGATGACTTCAAATTGTAATATGAAGTATCATGTTCTTTGTGCTCCCATTGAAACAAATTGAACATAAAATATATTTTACTTTACAGAAACACTTCTGAGTACTCCATAGCTAGAAAGCCCTGGAAAGGGTCAGCATAAGTCAATATCAACTTGATGGCACGTAGTAGCATCTTAATTATAATTGCTGTTATTGTCTTGACAAGCAGAAGACTTTGATACTGACAGATCTCTATGAAAGAGTACCAATAATTTGCAAAACTCTTGTAGCTAAAGCTGGTTTTTCACTTACTTTCTATGCTAAAATGAAGAGTTTCTATTTGTGTTCTAGCTCCGACTTCTCTATGAATGCAACCCCATCGCTTTCATCATGGAGCAGGCAGGAGGGATCGCAACCACTGGGACAGAGGCAGTGCTGGATGTGAAGCCAGAGTCGATTCATCAAAGAGTACCTTTTGTGGTGGGTTCTGCAGAGGATGTGCAAGAATACCTCTCCTTTGTACAGAAACACCAAAAAAGCAGCTAATGTGCCTCCTGGGTTTTTTTGCATTCACCTGCATTTTCCTTGCACTGAGAGTAAGCAGTGGTACTGAAAAGTCAGAACAATATCCTGTTGACTGCAGTAGAAAAAGGGATTTTTATTAATTTTTTTCAATCAAATGGGTTTTCTTTTCTGTTAATGCATGATACAGCCTCTGTTTCTGTAATATGGGAAATAAAAATAAAACCTGTTTGGTAGCAATTACTGGAGGAAGTGAATATTTTGCCATTTACTTCTTTTTCTAAATATACCCCTTGAATGTCAAGGTTCGGGCTAATGTCTAATGTTGGGTCAGCTCAATTGTCTGCTGCAGGTATTTGTTTCCTGTTAAGCCACACACTGCTGCCAGACTTGTGACTTGTGAGGTAATCAGTTCACCCACTTCTACCGTCAACAAGTGATTGGAGCAAAAATACGGTTGCCATTCGCTCTCAGTCCACACTGAGTAGACCTTTGCACATCTCACATGACCCCAGCATTGTGTAGATTAAGACTGCTTCCTTAAGCTACACCATTCTTTGCTTGTTTACGCACATTTAAAGTATCATCTATAAGCATGGTTTTTATCTTCAGATAGATCACACAAATGGCCTGAATATACTAGAATTCCATGTATTTTTTTCTCTTTGAGCGCTATAGAAAATTATTTTTTCTCATGTTTGTGAGATGCTTCTGACTACAGTATACTAAAAAAGTAAAATTTCCAAGTTCTGGGCTGTTTTGTAAGTTACAAAACATAAAGGTTGGAAGTGTGTTATCAAAGGAGAACTGTAACTAGTTTTGGGTTCTTGGTGAGTCTAGTTTTCAAAGAAGATTTCAAACAAGGGCCATAAATCACTATTAGGTGTGAAACGCAACCAAACACCACTGTCTCTTTATCTTACCCTTGCATTAATGTTTTACCATGGAGTTTTTGTATTCTAACTCTTATGTCTGAAGAAGTCAGTTTGTTCCAGGAAAGCTTACATTAAAATATAGTAGTTAGTCTTTACGGTGCCATAATGTCCCTTTTTGTTTTTGTTTTGTGTTTCTTGTTAAAATGCATGCACAGAATAGCACAGCTACAACTTCAAAAACTTGAAGTATAATAGTTTTTCTTTAAGGTGCCACAAAGTTTTTGTTGTTTACATTTTGTTTTTGCATTTGTTTGGCTTTAGCTTTGTTGTCTTGATGAGTTTAGATGTGCCATATAAATGTCTGCAACCTTTAAAAGGGTCTCATGCACCCTTTTAAAAAATTATGTGTTTTTAAAACCAGTGTCTGTACTGCTTACTGTCTCTACAATTGCATCTTGAACTGGATAAACTGTATGTGTAAAATGTACTACACATAAAATTTAAAATCCCACTACACACTTTGTCCTGTGACAAGCTGAATCTTAAAATATATTGCCCCAATTGGGGCCTGGACAAAATAGAAGACAAAATAAGTCTTTGTGTATATTTGTGTGTGTGTGTGTGTGTGTGTGTGTGTGTGTGTGAGATGCATGTGTACGTGCGTTCGTGCGTGCATGCAGCTAGATGTGAAATATAACTCCCTTGGAAGGTAAAGAAGAGGAAACACACTGAGGAAAAGCTTTGAGATATGTTGCTGTAGCATCAGAACTGACACTAGAGTCACTCCCATGAAAATGTCAATATATTAAAAAGCTTGTCTCGTCTTTTCTGTACATATTATTTCTGCCTTATTGGCACTGACTGACTAGCAACCAGGTGACTGTAAGTTTGTCCCAAGCCTGGAGTTTTGTTTTGTTGGTGTATCATAACTTTCAGCACTTTGAACCCATTTACAGACTCCTTCCTGCCTGCACATGTTATACAGGAACCAACTCAGCTTCTACAAGGTGAAGGATCACTGAGGACAAAAAGCCTAGGAAAAGCTAGAGCTTGCAGCAGTAAAAGGAATGACAAGAGTACTTGATTATACCTGCTACTGAAAATGTTCATATTTTGCTTCACATTCAGTTCTACCATTTTTATCCTATTAATTTCAGTCACCATTAGCATTGTCAGGTCTCAGCGTGCCAACTGGAGTCTCCGATTATTGCTCTGCTTCTTTGATTCTCTAGCGTGGGTGACAAATCTCAAAGTGAGCAAATCTGGGTGAGGAAAAGTTTTTATTTTTGCATGGACACCCCTCTGCACCCTTGCCAACTGGAGCCAGAAAGCCCTTTGACGCATCTCATAGCTGGGATCAATGGAAATAGGAAGAGAGCAAATAATGAGAGTTTAGTCCCATGACAGCAGTTACATATAAACCCAATTTTGCCCTTGGCTTGCAAATAAAGTAATTAATGCAATTTTCTGATATTTCACTAAAATTATTCTTCCTTAAAAATGTTCCTTAGTTACCTCAAAATTTCCCCCCAAAAGGAGTCAGATGGTTGCAGAGGAGCAAAGTCTGTGGCAGCTGTGGCAGCATTGTTCCACCAGAATTGAGAAATGTTAGCTTTTCAAACCACATTTCCCAGAATTTTAGCCAGAATGATGAATGGATCTTTTATGTTATGGTTTTTAAAAACATTTTTCTATCTCTGCTGCCCACCGGCAGAGACAGATGTATGCAAACAGAGTACCAAAGTATGACAGTTTAAACTGGTTGGATTACCTCAGCGTAACCAAAGAAGCTCTCTTGCTGGAGGTATTTTCCTGTCAGCATTCCCACAGTGGAGTGAGGGGACAATGGGCACATATGCTGGATCCAAGCCCAGAAAAGCTATAGATACTGAGCCCCTTCTTTTGTCTGGCACATCCCAGGAATTGTGCAAACCTAGCCCTACTGTAATTAAGCTCCCCAACCCCTGCAGCCAATTAAAGCGAAACAAAAATGCTCCCCACCTGCTGCCCGACTCAAAACAAAACTGCACAGCACAGAACACAGCGGCTGCTCAGAAATAGATCTCTCTCTGTTCCTACGTGGCATCTGTGTGGTGGAAGATTGTTTTGTAAATCAGGTTCCTGATTCTAATCACTGTGTTTAAACCTGTCTGTGCTGTAAGTAGTTCAAAAGAGGTGGTGGTGGTGGTGGGACATTTGTGCCCTTCCAGATGTGTCATATTGCAACTCCCACAATTCCACACCATTGCTTAGAGCTGATGGGAATTTTAGAAACAGAACACCTAAAGGGCCACAGCAGTCCACCCGCTGCTAAAATGCCTTCGAGCCTAAAATTCTTAAGAATCCTGACGTCTCTTGTATGAATCCTCTTGGAAATGTTGAGGATCTAGAATAGATTATAGAAATTGTATATTAATTTTTTTTATTTCACAGTGCATTTGGATTTCAGTTCATTTATATTTCACAGCTGGTATTCTTATTTGCTTTTTTTGCCATCTCCATCCTGAACTTATGAGGGTGCTTCTTTTCGGATGTTATGTTGCCTTTTAACCTTTACAGGCTTCTCTGAGAAGCCATTGGAATGAAAGACTGGGTTTGAAATATCACAAACGAAAAAAAAAGTAGCATAATTGTGAGCTGAATATCTCAGTGAGCAGAGAAAAGTGAGATAACAGATGTCTGGATGCCACTTCTTTAAAATAATTAGGAAGTGGAATCCAATATGCTAAAATAAATTATGTTGGCAAAATTGGGGGGGGGCACATGTCTGAAGAACTAGATTTTGATCATGAAAGGTCATGCTGAAATAAATGCATTAGTTTTTAAAGTACCACAATGTTTTGGTCTTCTTTTTTCCTTCTTCTGTTCTTCTTTTCTTCCTCCCTCCCTCCCTCCCCTTTAATTTGGGCTGCATTCTGTGACAGATTAGCATGGCTACTTCTTGGAAATCTGCTAAAATAAACTATGGCCACAATCCAGGGTACTGGAGCACCAGAAAAACAAAGACCTTGCACAAACTGAGTACGGTGAATACACAAACTCTATAATTAGCTTATATAGACCTTGTGTATCTAATGTGGAAAACAAGGCCATAGGTCGCGGTTTGGTTTTGCAGGGAACAGTTCCTTCTCACATGAAACAACTTTTTGGAATGTGGACCTTTGCATCCCATGCTAAGGAGTGACCAGACAAGCATATTATTTGCTTTTGATGCAATTTGGTTTGCCTTACTTTCTGGCACATTGATAGGACTGCAGTTTATGTGGTGCATTTGGAAACATTCCTGATTATTTTGTTCTGCAGTCTCTGTGGTTCCTTAATTTATTCTTACATAGAGCTGATAGTGGAAAGGGTGGCAGAGAAACCCTTTCATCTGTTTCCCTCTTCTCACAATTTTCAAAATATTCTCCTAAGTGATACAGCACTATTGCAGATAAAACAGAGCATCCTTGCTAGGTTGATGTATTGCTGTAGCACTATGCCACTTACTACATAAAACAAAAAAGGGAGGAATTTGCCATGGCCTCCAAGATGAAAGCTACGCCAAAAGGGAGGGCAAGGGACATCAGTAATTGAAATTGGGAGTAATTGGAGCAATCTGAAGTGCTTTCCAAAGGAACGTTCTCAGAAGGAGCATCTCTCATGCGAACAAAAGGATCATTTAACTGTGAGATACGTATAATAGATTATACCCAAAGGTAAGAAGGTTTTAAACATAACCTGGATCATTTCAAATTCGTCTGTCTAGTTGATGCCTGCCACTAAAAATATTTATTTCCTGCCCTGTGCTGTCTAATTAAATAGATGAAACAAACCAAGCTGCTGATATTTTATGTAACTGAAAATGTTTGCTCTCCACAGTGCAGATCAAAAAGCAATTATAATAAAATAGCAAATATTTGCCATGGTGAGATAAGTAGTTTGTGAGAAATATTATCAGAATTTATGGAATGGCAGAGAGGGAAGGAGCTCATAATGAAATCTTTTATGTTGTTGCCTATAAAGCAAAAATATTTATGCTGTGAAATTTACAGAATAGTGATATCCTTATATCAGAACGAAACATAAAAACCACAGAAGTATGCCACAGAATGCTTTTTTAGACGAAATGGTGCAAAAATTAGGAGGTGGAAGAAGAAACAGAAAGCTCACCAAATTAAGCCAGGTAGTGCAGTCTTGAGATATGCTCTTTGTACTGCAACTACAGATTGAATCTACACTTAATATTATAAAAACCTATGACATTCAGATGCAGTTATCAGTGCATCATTTTATATAATAAAACAAAATCAATATTAATTAATACCAATACTGGTGGGAACAGTGCTTCCCAAAGGGGTAAGATGGTGGCATGAGTGTGCTTTT